TACATTGACATGAATCAGCCATGGAGTTACATGTATTCCCCATCCCGATCCCCCCTCCCACCTCCCTCTCCACCCGATTCCTCTGGGTCTTCCCAGTGCACCAGGCCCGAGCACTTGAGGAGACTTAAAGTAGCTCATCTAGGCCAGCTGGTGGACAGAACTGTCCTGCCACCCCTCCGAAGCTAGGCAGGTAGGCACTGGGACAAAACCCACCCCCCCCCAAAAAAAAAATAGCTACCACAGTTGTTCAGAAGAAGAAAAAAAAAAAACACCCAGAATTTCTACTGCCAATTATATAAGAGGAAAGAGGAAATATTAAATAGTGACTCAAAGTGAAAATATAAGGCCAGTCACTGGGCAGTCTTCCCATACCCAAATGCAATGCCTTTTAAACTAAATGACTCACCCAGAGATTTTCTAGAAATAGGAAAAAAGTCAGGAGATGCCAGGTTCCCGCCCCTGAGAGGAGAAAGTCTCAGCAATTAAGAAAAGAGTACCAGGACTTCCCTGGTGATCCAGTGGCTAAGACTCCAAGCTGCCACTGCAGGGGGCCCTGGTTAGACCTCTGGTTGGGGAACTAGATCCTACTTGGCACCACGGTGGGTTTGCATGCTAAAACGAAGATCAAAGATCCTGTGCACCACAACTAAAGACCTGGCAGAGCCAAATAAACAAATAAAAATAAATATTTAAAAAGGAAGAGTACAACTTGGAAAAGGACCCTAGAAAGAGAGTGAGAAATCCACATCCAAACCCACTTAAACATATTCTAAGCTGCCTGGGGAGAATGGCACTCACAGGCTGGCATCATGTTCTAAGTCACTATCTCTCAAACTCAGACCACAGGCGCCCAGGTGCTCCAGCCTACAGACTGTCACTGCCCTACACTTCACATTATTAGCATTCTTTCTATCCATGTATCAGAAAGTCAATTCAAAGCGGCTTTTATAAAAGGAAAAGACATTGATTGGTTCCTGTAACCTGAAAAGCCAGGAGCAATCTGATCTCAAATGTGGCTGAATCATGGGGTTCAAACAATACCATCAGGACTCAGTCTCTCCCTCCATGATTCAGCTTTGCTTTCCTTGACGTTGGCTATATTCTCTGTTAGGTTTTCTTTAAGTGGAGGCCACTGCCGTCAACAGGGTTATCGTCTGCAAGTTTGGGAGCCACTGTAGAAACACAGAGACTTCATTTTTTCCATTTCCATCCAAGTCCAAGAAGCAAGCATCTTTGGCTCTGATCAGCCCAGCCTGGGTCATGTGTCCACTTCTTAAGCAATCACTGCCCAAGAGGATATGTTCCTGTCATTGACTGGTGTTCAATGGGTCATTTATAATAGACAAGGATCAAAATCATTAGGCAACCTGAGATTCACCAATAATCCACATCTGAGTAAGAGCAACAACAGTCAACACACACACAACACCCAGGCCTCTCTAGCAGACTGAGCAGTCTTTCAGAGTTTGTTCTCTTCAAGGTAATAATAACAAGCATTATACTTTAAAAAAGCTTCCCTGAGGAGTCTGGAATTATTATGAGCTAATATATGTAAAAAGCACTTACAAGAATGTCTGACCCAATGTAAATACTACAGAACTGTTAATTATCATCATGGAAGAAGGATCCTGGAGAAGAAAAAATATCATAACAAGCAGGGTGGAGGTATAGAACAGTTTAAATATTGAAAGGAGGGACTTCCCTGGTGGTCCAGTGGTTGGGACTCCACACTTCCACTGTAGGGAGCACAGGTTTGATCCCCGGTTGAAGAACTGAGATCCTGCATGCCACGGAATGGTGTGGCCAAAAAAAAATTGAAAGGAGTGTAACCTAATTTTGTAACAAACTGGTAAAGCAGGATATATTGGTTAGACTACTTTTTGCTTCTTTGATCCAGAGTTTACCACAAGATTGTTTTAAAATATCTTTTCAGTCATCTCTACAAGGGGATTTGGGAGGGAATAAATACTCAATACTGATTACAAGATGGTGGACTGATAGATGCTGGAGTCCACCCTCCTATAGCAAACTCTACCCATAATGGAAATAAATCTGAAAAAAAAACATGTGCACACACACACACACACACACACCTAGACCACTCTGCTATACACCTGAAACAAACACAACATTGTACATCACTAAAGTTCAATTTAAAAAATAAAAGAATAAATAAAATAATGGATGATTTTTTAAAAAGTCAAATGGCTCCAGAGTATGTGTGGAGCAATCAGCTCAGGTCCCCAGAAAGGCTCAGAAATTAGAGTTCCAAAGATCCCGGAAGACAGGGGTGCAGGTTAAGACTGAACACAGCAAGACTGACTGAAAATCTGTATGAAAAGCAAGAAAACAGCCTCCATTAATCCCTGGGTTAATGAGCTGGGGCTCAAGTTCATCAAAGAGAAATTTCTGGTGGCACAAATGATCGCAAAAAAATTTCAGAATACACGGAGATAGCTAGTATTAAGTCTTTCAACTGATCCTGTCTTTATTTAAAATTTTGATATCTTGTTAATTTTTTGCAATAATTTTGATTTTTTTTCAAATATTGCATTAAAATACTATTTACCTTGATTACCGGGTTTTGAGGCACCGAAGCTAAGTGCCTCACTTGCCTCTCTTTAGTCCTCACCTAGGTTACTGCCTTTTTAAACCTTTAGTACAAATCCGTTACAAGGAACAGCTTTGGGTTAGTGATCGCTTTTAAACATGGTCCAACACAGGGTGGAGCAGAGATTTATCAGCAGTGGACAAGACATGAAAATCGTCTAGAAATCAGTGTGATTAAGAAATCTGGGGCTTTCCTGGTGGCTCAGTGGTAAAGAATCCACCTGCCAATGCAGGAGACACAGGTTCAGTCCTCGGTCTGGGAAGATCCCACATTCTGGGTAGCAACAAGGCCTGTGTGCCACGATTACTAAGCAAACCCATGCTCGAGAGCCTGGGAGCTGCAACTACTGAGCCCAGGTGCTGCAAACACTGAAGTCCACATGTTCTACAGCCCATGTTTTGCAACAAGAGAAGCTACTGCAATGAGAAACCGGTGCGCTGAGACTAGAGAAGAGCCCGTGCAGCAATGAAGACCCAGCACAACCAAAAATAAATAATTAATATTATTTTTAAAAAAAAAAAAAAGGAAAAGAAATTTGAATACGTAGAATTAGAACAAAGAGTTTAGGCTGGTTTTGGGTATTGGCAGGGATCCCAGGGAAGGGGTGGAATTTCTGTGTTCCCTATACCCTCTGATGAACCCCACAACTCATTTGTCCCTTAATCTTTGTCTCTCCAAGATGGAGTGAGAAGCCTGAGATGCCCCGGGTCTGGGCTTGCAGTTCAGTCCTGAGAAGAGACTACAAGGGTTTGAGACTGGATCCCTGAGGAACAGAGATAAGCAGTGGGGGCTGGAGAAAGTCCCAGGATTAACTTCTCAAGGTCTTTACAGAAATGTTGCGAAGAGCAAGTGTCAGAACAAGTAAATCCAAGTAGTTTCAAGTTGTTAATCTAGTGGAAAGGGATTCTGAGAGGCCTTTCTTGATACAAGGTTTACATAAAATGCTAATTGGTAACATACAAGTGTGGGTCCCTGCCTGCTCTACCAGTGATGCTGGGGAGATAAGCATGAGGGAGGGGCTCACATCAGCCTCTGCCAGACGGAGTCTCAGGATAATGTTCTGGATGATTCCAATCTTTGATTTTTCTTGCATCAGTAACCAAGCAGAGAGTACTGTTAGGGGAATCACACCCCAAGTCATGCTTCTCTACCTTTTTTCTGTGATTGCCCCCTTACAAAGCCTTTACCGTCATGTATGTGCTTATGTAAGTGATCCTTTGAAGGGCCATAAGCCATTATAGAATCTATGATGTTGTGGCTCCACCCATGAGAATGCATGGCCTGTAGCCAGTTCCTCTCCACACTTTCTGGATTTTATTTCCCCCTTCAGGGTCTTCCCCTCATCACTTACACTCTTGTTCCTCCACATCTCAACCTCTCCACCCACCTCCAACCATGGCCCCCTCTCTGTTCCTTGCCTGGCCCTCTTTCTTTCTTTCAAGAAATTCTGGTTTAATTGAAATGGGGTGTAAATGAAAGGCCTTGTAGTACACTGTTAGGTTTAGAATTTTAGATGATCTACTTAAAAACATTTTTTTAAGAGTAATACATTGTAAATATGCTTTATTTTAGTTTTTGGCTATGTGGCATGAGGGATTTGGTACCCTGACCAGGGATGGAACCCATGCCCCTGAAATGCAAGCATGGAGTCTTAACCACTGGACCACCAGGGAAGCCCCCAGCCTTATTTCTTGAAGGGCATGCTACACTCTGATCTACATTCTGTCTCCTTCTGTCTACTGAACCTGTTCTCCATAATATCACAAATGAACTCCAAGCCCCCCGACCTCAACACATACTCTTCCACCCAGCAATCTCCATGTCAAAGAAATCTTACCAGCATGTGCCTAGAAGATAGCAAAACTGGACACTATGTTTCACAACAACTCTTTCTAACCAGGGGACTTTAAATGGTTGTGAATATTGAGTAACATTGTTCTGCCCAATCCTTAGTGGTCCTAACTTAAGACTCACTTGGAACAATAGGACTTGTCTCTGCTGTGTACAAACCTGTGGACTCTCTCCAGGATACAACTTGCAACTTTCAATCATCATAAACATTGAGAACAGCCCCTTTCAAGCAGTCAGAAATCCCTGACTTAGGCTCCTCCATGAATAATTCAGTTAACTAGTGGGTTCGTCTGCCTGACAAAAAAAGACACTTAATTTTGTTGACTATTTTTATCTGTTTTTTATTTTGTTCTTGTTTTTTTTTATTTGGTGGTCTTTCACCCTTTGTACCTTTTCTTGAACTTTAACCCATAGAAATAAAGCCACCAAGTATATAAGGATATAAATACAACATGCTCTCTGTAACATTCATCATATGTCTAAAAAGTGTAAACTGAATGATCACTGGCAGAGGAATGGTTAAAACCAACGTGGAGCATCATGCAGCTGTTAAAAGAAAAAGGCCAAGGAGTTCTCTGGTTGTCCAGTGGTTAGGACTACATACTTGCACTGCAGCGGGGTATGGGTTCAATCCTTGGTCAGGGAATTCAGATCCCATGTGCCAATAGCCTGGGCAAAAAAGAAAGAATGAGTCCAAGGTATAACTGCTTGAACCACAGAGATGTCCATGAGATAGAGCTCTTAAGTGAGGAAAAAGTATACAGTATGGCACAGATTTTTTAAACAAGAACCAGCCACTTCTAGAAGTGTATTCATCATTGACGATGATTCTATGCAACCCACAGGAATCTGAGCAGACTCTCTTTGGGGTTGACTTGGGGATACTTGTTGGGATCAAGACAGCAGAGGTGGTGGGGACAGGCGGCAAGGGGCCAAGAATCTGCCAGCTTTCTTCTCTCTGAATGAACATAGACCCCTGGGAGCAAACCTTCTTTGACTCTCCTCTGAGCATTGAGCATCCCCTCACTAGCACCCTTTTGAGGTTCCACAAAGGCTCTTCCCTCTCAGCTCCATCCCAACACTCCCTTCATAGGCAGAGCTGGTGGATGAGGATGAGGGGGCAAATATGCCTCAAGGACCAAGACTCTACCTGGAAGAAAAGAGATTGAGACTGAATTCTTTTTCACACTGTTTGATATGAATGAAGTTCTCTCTGAAAGATTGAGAAGGTTCCAACAGAGATCCACCGGTAGGAAACAACCCTAAAGTTCTCCAAAGGGAAGCCCCTGTGAGCAAAGTCATCTGGTCAAATGACCAGGCTCAGCATCGAGACTCAAGGTTTAAGGGGCTGAGGCTGGACATGGCCTTGACCCTGGCCCCTGGCACCACGGTCATGCTGGGAGACCCTGCGTGAGCTAAGAGCTGGGAAGCCCAAGTGTGGGTCACTGTTGTGGCCTGTGCAGCAGGCCCACGCAGCACTAGACATGACCCATCAGATGGTGCAGGAACAACGTTTCCCTAGTGCCACCAATGAACAAGAACAGAAGTGAGTACCACACTCAGAGAGGGGGGTGCTGGGCTTCCTGCACACTGGGGAGGGGTACTCAAATGACTAACTGGAAAAATATGTGATATAAAGTCTACCCTCAAACCAGAGCCTATGTTTAGTTTAAAGTTACACAGTTTATAATGCTGTGTTTGTATGTCCAATTTGTCCCCAAGGAATAAACACAAACTTCTGTAGTCCTGTGCCAAATGTGGGCTCCAAACACTCATGGAGTGGGGACAGTGGGGTGACCCTCTAGCCAACTGAAGTCTAAGCCACACTGGTACAGGAGAAAAGAAGGGGATGAAATTGCTCTTGTGTTCAGAACACTTAAACAAGACTTTTTGGCTATGAAATGCAAGGCCCATCCCCCTCGCCCACAGTCCCTGGGAAAGTATCTAGTGAGAGAAGCTTTGATCAAGCAGCTAAATTGTTCTGCAAAGAGAGATGGTGGGAAAGTGAGACAGAAAACAGGGCCCTGGGAATCTGGAAGAAGAGGAGAGTTCAGCATTGGGGTGCACATATGGGCTTCCCTACTGCAAAACCCAGCCCCTGGTCCTTCCTGTGGTAAACAGAACAAGTGTTAACTGTAAGGACCAGTAAACATTTTAAAATAAGAAGCTTAATTCTCCCTGTTGAAAATAAGAGACTTCTTCCAGCCCTTTCTTTTCTTTTACTATTTATTTGGCTGCATCAGGTCTTAGTTGAGGCACAGGCAAATTTTCGACCTTCGTTGCTGCGTGTGGGCTGTTCAGCTGCAGCATGAGACCTCTGAGCTGCGGCAAGTGGGGTCTAGTTCCCTGACCAGGGATGGAACCCGGACTCCCTGCATTGGGAGTGTGGAGTCGTAGCCACTGGATTCACCAGGGAGTATCTCCAATCCCTTCCTTAGAGCATTAATGTTAGAAAACTTGTAAGTTCTTTCTCTGTCTCTTTGAAAGTATGGGAATCTTTTTAGAAGCTAAACCAGCCTCTTGCAGCTTTATGACCCAGGAATGTCTCTCTCCCAAGGCCCTGGCAGTCATCTCTTTGAAATGGAAAAATCAGGAGAGAGAGCACCCGTATCTCCCAGTTTCTGTGAGAGGTTAGGACCCTAACTGAGGTGAGCACCTTGCTCTGACATGCAAAACTACCCCCTGTCATAAAGATATGAGGATACTGGTTTTCCTATGATTAACCCTATTAATAACACCAAGGATCACCAATCACCAGGTAAAGTTAGGATGAACAGTGTGTGACAAATGGTGCTCTCAAGCCTCTTACTTGAGAACTAGTTACTGTTTATCTTGAGAACATGTGTAAAGGCTGCATCTGTTTGGCACTATAACAGGATGGGATTATTTTATCTTTACAATCTCTTAGCAGATGGCCTGTGACGCACATCACATTCTGCTAATGCTTATTCAAGTATAAAACTATTTTCTTTCCTCCACTGCCTTTGTGGAGAGCTTTTCCTGGGTTGGGAAATCTTGTTTTTCATTATATTTCCCAATAAAATGCATCAGCTGAAAAAGAAAAAAAAGAAGTGAGAAGGTTTTGAGGAGTAAGACCTCTAAATGGAAAGGACATGGAAAAATAGTATGGGGTGAGGAGAGGCAGAGAAAGTTCTAGAAATACTGATGCCGGCATTCAATTGAAAATTGTTTCCAGAATGTAAGTAATAGAATAATAGCAATGAATACATATGGAGACTACTGCCAGGTATTGTTCTATTTTAAACATTAACTTATTAGTATATGTAGTAGCTTGGATTGCTATTCTTAATTATCCATCCCCACCCCCACCCTGCCTCTGAGTATGCTCCAGCAGGCAGAAAAGGTGTCACGGAACAGCAGAGAAGCAGGCTGAAGTATGGACTAGTCTTGGAAGTATCACGCAAACCTTCTTATTAGGTAAAAGTGACACTTGAAGGGCACGTGTGGAAAGGCCAGGTTCAGCTACTACAAAAGATGGGGAATGTAAGCCACACTATTTGGATATTACAGGATACCCCAAACTGGAGGAAACTGTGCTGGGGGCCAGCAGATACCAGCCCCGAGCACTGAGGATGCAGTAGGTGGGAGTGGGCCCAGAAGATAAGAAGGGGAAGGGCACCCAGTAAGGATCAGACACTTCTGTAAGGTCTGGAGGCTGGAAGGCAGGACTGGAATCCCTCTCATGCCCACCAAGGAGCAACATGTCGAGTCATTTTTGAGGGTCTGGCTCAAGAAAGCAGGTTTACCTTGCCCTGACCTAGCCCAGGCTGCCAAACACGTCCACTGTGAGCCAAATGCTTATAAAGACTAGGGCCAAGAAGACATAGGTAGGGACCAGCAAGAGGCTTCCTGGGTGGGTGCTAAAGCCTGAGCCCTGAATCATCCTCCTGACAAAGTCCCACCGCTGCACCCTGGTTCCCGTTTCTGGCCGTGAGTGCCACAAACGACCAGGAAACAGTGGGGGTGGGTGTGTGTGCGTGTGCTCAAAGTGGGATAAAGACAATGGGGAAGATGAAAGAAGTAGAACTTCATGACTAATAAGAACTTTACGCCTGATTTTTTTAGGAGAAAACTGGATTCTTGTGGGGAAAGCAAGCACCAGGGTCAGTGAGGCCAGAATAAAAATGTACCTGGAACATATAGAAGAGAAAGAGGCTGCATTCATTCTGGAGGGACAAAGTCCATGGGAATCGCCCAGGGATGCTGGGTCCCTAAGTGACTCCACATTGCACCCTCACACCTGGGTCCCTAACATTCTCTGCACCCACTATGAAGACAGGACAAAAGGAAGCTCTCACTGCCCTGCCTCAGTTAGGCCTCCCTCCGTATCTGAAGGGGTTGGCAGGTGGGCGCTAGCGGTAAAGAACCCACCTGCCAATGCAGGAAACATAAAGTGATGCGGGTTCGATCCCTGGGTCTGGAAGACCACCCTGGAAAAAATGGCAACCCGCTCCAGTATTCTCGCCTGGAGAATCCCTGGGACATAGGAGCCTGGTGGGCTATAGTCCCTAGGGTCCCAAAGAGTCGGACACAACTGAAGCGACTTAACATGCATAGCATGCAGTATCTGACGTGTATGTGTCTGTGGGGGAGTGTCCTAAGCCAGCCATGTTTGACACGAGGTTGGGGGTGAGGTGGGGAGCGAGTCTCTTAGCCGTTACTTTTCCAAGTTTTAGGCAACCTGGGGAAACTCTGGTCATTTATTGAAGGACTGCGCTCAAATCAGGTAGCAATCTGAAACTGAAGACTGACTGGGCTGAACTGGATCCAGAGAAGCCCACTCTCCAGGAATGTCCCAGCGCAGTCACCCAGGTCGACCTTCCAGGGCTCGGCTCACGGTCTTCCCCAGATCCCAGCCCACAAAAGCAGGGACTTCCTCCTTCGCTTGGAAGACCAACACGCTCCCTCTTCCTTCGAGCTCCCCCAAAGTCTCGGCGACCTCGGGGACTGTCCTCGTCTTGCTCCCTTCAACCCCGAGTCCCCTGACCTCCTCGGGAGGAGGAGAAACCCGGCCACATCCGTCCTCTCGGCTTCCCCCAGGCCGGGGCCCCTTTATCTCCCTCGCAGCTGCGCTCGGGCGGGGAGGCGCGGCTCTTCCACACAGCCGGCTCTGCGGCGGCTCGCAGGTTCAGGCTAGTCTGGGGCGGAGACTGGGAACGCCTGGATGTGGTGAGGAGGGCGGGGACGCGGGCCCATCTTTAAAGGCCCGGGAACGGCCCTGAGGCGCCTCAACACCTGCCGGCGGCCCCGGGCGGCCTCGAGAAGCGCGCACGGACCCGGCTCCCCTCGCTTCAGCCGCCGGGGCGGCCATGGGCCGCTACCGCATCCTCGTGGCCACCGGGGCCTCGCTCTTCGCCGGCTCGCACAACCGCGTGCAGTTGTGGCTGGTCGGGGCGTGCGGGGAAACGGAGCTGGAGCTGCAGCTGCGGCCGGCGCGGGGCCAGGTCAGCGGGCGAGCCGGGAGGCGGGAGGCCGGCGAGGGAGCGGGATAGGGGGCGAAACGACAGCAGGACCGTGTCCGTTGGGGCTTTCAGGTGTTGGGACACCGGTGCCTGGGCCAGGAGAGGATCGGGAGCCAGGGTCCAGGCAGGGCGCACATCCTTCTCCCTCCCCGACGGCCCTAGTCCTCACAGCCTCCAACTTCTCCAAATGACCCGTGCCAGTGTCAGTATAGGATCTGAAGTCAAGCGGGATGCTCCTAGTGAGGAGGGCGCGGGGCGGGGAGCTCAGTTAAAGGACCGATTGAGGTGCTGATGCTCAGACATCAATTAAAGACACTGCGGGCCACGCGCCGGGCTCCCTCATTCTGCCGCTGTGATGGGGTGAGACCCAGCGCGCAAGCGTCCGGAGGCAGAACGAGGACTGCTGTATTCGGAGGCCTTGCCAACCGAGGCTCCACAAAGGTCCCCTCCTCTCTTGTCCCCACCGCATTACTTACCCCCCCCCCCCCCCGGCAAAACGGCCTCTCCGGGAACCCTGCTACTGTCTCTCGGTTCTGGTCCCACAGAAGGAGGAGTTTGAGCACGAAGTTCCGGAGGACTTGGGGCCGTTGCAGTTCGTGAAGTTGCGCAAACACCACTCCCTGGTGGACGACGCGTGGTTCTGCGACCGCATCACGGTGCGGGGCCCTGGAGCCTGCGAGGAGGCCGCGTTCCCGTGCTACCGCTGGGTGCAGGGTGACGGCGTGCTATGCCTGCCAGAGGCCACCGGTGAGGGGCAGTGTCGGGAGGAGGGGTGTACGGTCCTGGAGAACAGATGGGAAAGGGGATGGGGGGGGTAGCTGAGGAAGGTCAGAGGCCCTTGAGCAAAGTGAGCGTTCAGCAAGTTAAGTGTGGAGAAGGCAGAACACCGGAGTTATAAAATACCAAATTTATACACAGAAAAAAAAAGCTCCAAGTGGAGCTGGACAGGGACATAAGTTCATGTGTAGATCCCACCCTCCAAGAAGATGAGGGCAGGGGGTGGGAGACGCAGCAATGATGGAAAACAGAAGCGCCCAAGCAAAAGCAGAAAGGAGATCGGTATGGGATGAGGAACAAGTTGGGGCAGGGCAGGTACAGGTAGTATGTGGAATAGCGGATGGAGGTGACCCCGAGAGGAGACAGCTATAGGAAATAACAAACAATGTGACTTGGAGAGCTGGGTTCGGTTGGAAAAACACGGAAACAAACCATGAGGGACAGAGTGCACACTGACAGCGGGTGGGGGTGAATGAGGACAGCCAATACAGAATCTGTTACCATGGAAAATAGTAAGAGAGATGATCATAGAGGAAAATGCAGGCCAGGGCAAGTAAGGATAGAAAGACATCACTTTGACACTGGTGAGTATACATGCAGCTAAGAGCAGGAACAAGGTGATAACAGACTCTGAGGGTCTAAGCAGAGTGAAGTCAGAGAAAGAAAAGAGCTGTTCCTCATAGATTTCCAAAGACGGCTGAGGTGTGGTAGGTGAGGTTCAGCACATGTGAAATTAAACAAGGCAATATATAGTAGAAAACAGGTAAGGGCATATGGGTGACTAAGACTTTATCACTTTTTTTCTTTTGGCTGCACTGCTCAGCAGGTGGGACTTTAGTTCCCCAACCAGGGATTGAACCCATGCCCCCTGCAATGGACTTGCAGAGTCTTAACCACTGGACTGCCAGGGATTCACAAGATTTTATCACCTTAATTACAGTGATTTTTCCAACAACAGATACTGATGAAATAGGATCAAGTGGGGAAAGGCGAGTTAACAGACAAGAAAAGATGTCAAACATGAGATTGTCTCAAGGCAAGAGATGAGGGTTGAGATTAACAAAACCCAGAGTACACAGTTGGCAATGACAAGGTAAATGTGTCTCAGAAATCAGTGGAGTGATGCAAGGCCAGAGATAGAAGCAACAGAGCAGAACTGAACACAGGGCCCATGACTGCTGAAAAGGAAGATGAGGACAAGCAGGGGAGAGCCCAGGACCACAAAGACTGTGGCCAATTGTCTTAACATCTCCCCAGCCCGTCTGGCAGGAAACAATGCATTGGACGTGTTCCAGAGACATCGAGAGAAGGAGCTGAAAGAAAGACATCAGATATACCGGTGACCACCCACCCACAGGGCCTCTCAGCAGTAACCCCCTTCCCTGACCCTGCCCCCACTACTGACCTGGGCACCCTTCCTGAAGCCTTGTCCCCATTTCCTAGCTGGGCCACCTGGAAGGAAGGGTTACCCCTGACAATAGCTGCGGGCTGTGAGGACGATCTACCGGCAAATATGAGATTCCACGAGGAGAAGAGGCTGGACTTTGAGTGGACACTGAAGGCGGGGTGAGAACAGGCCTGGAGTTCAGAGTGGTGAAAGGGCTGGGAGATCTAAAAATGGTGGTAGAGAGGCTGAGGGATGGGCGAGTGGGTTCACGCCTTGATTCCCGTCCTAGGGCTCTGGAGATGGTCCTCAAACGTGTTTACACCCTCCTGAGCTCCTGGACCAGTCTGGAGGATTTTGATCTCATCTTCTGGGGCCAGAAGAGCCCCCTGGCTGGTCAGTGGTTCCCCAGGTCTCTATAACCTGTTGATGGCCTCTTTTGATGTCCCGACCTTCACACTCCACAGTCCCTCATAAGTGTTTCGCAGATGAGACTATATTGTGCTGGGTCATTTCTCAGAGGCCCCAAGATGAAAAGATAGGGACTGGATATGGGGTGGTCACATGCCTACATCACTGGGGTAGGGCCTGGAGGAGGGACATCCCAACTGTGTAAACCTCCTCCTCCACTCCACTCTACTCCATTCCACCCTGACACCACAGAGAAGGTTCACCAGCGCTGGCGGGACGATGAGTTGTTTGGCTACCAGTTCCTCAATGGCGCCAACCCCATGCTGTTGAGACGCTGCACCTCTCTGCCCTCCCGGCTGGTGCTGCCCTCGGGAATGGAGGAGCTACGGGCCCAGCTGGAGAAAGAACTCCAGGTATCCCTCCCGCCCTGCACTGTTCTCACCTTGGCAGTGCAGCCAGAAGTGGTGAAGGGGAGGGACCAAAGATGAGTTGAAGAAGGGAGGCTGTGGTAACCCTTGGTCCAGACTCCAGTGCTGGAAAAAACTGGAGGTGATACAGTACGTAGGGAAAACTCTGAGGAACTCCCAGCATGGAGGAGAAACAGGATGGATCCCCAGGGCACAGACAGGGCTGGTGGTGTTACCAGGGACAATGTTGTCTCCTGGTTGATGTCAGTGCCCTGGACACCAGTGTTCAAAGGGAGGAAGAAAGATGGAAAATGTGCCATCAGGAGGGGAGAACTGTGGAGGCTGTTTGGGTTTGGAGGAGGTGAGCTGCATGTGAGGACGATGAGCTAGGCCACATGTGAGCATGTCACGGGCATGTGTGCGCTGGACTAGGCGGCAGTGCTGGCAGGGCAACCTCTGCAGATTCCTTGACAGAGGAGGTGAGTTTTGGAGTGAAAGAGCGTTTGCTGAGCTGGTGACAGCTGAACACAGGGAGCAGATCACTGCAGGATGGTGGGGTAGGGGCCTGGCCATCTGGACAAGGGGCCAGCGTGCACAGTGGACTGGGCAGGCCTGTTCTGAAATCAGACCTGCACAAGACGCCTACCTTCACTAGGCTGTTTGTCACTTAAAATGAGAGGAATCAGGCCAGATGTTCTGGTTCTGCCAATAAGACTCCATAACTGACACAGGATGATGGCAAGAATCAAGATAAATATCTTAAAATGTCTTCCCCCTTTGCCCCTGCCCTCTTGGGTTAGACTTTAAACTCAAAGGATGGATACATTCCTCCTTTCCCCAGAATGGTTCTTTGTTTGAAGCTGATTTCATCCTCCTGGACGGAATTCCAGCCAACGTGATCCGAGGAGAGAAGCAGTACCTGGCTGCCCCCCTCGTCATGCTCAAGATGGACCCCAGTGGGAAGCTGCTACCCATGGTCATCCAGGTGAGGTGCCCCAGGCACCCCCTCCCAACTTTGCTGCTGTTCACCTCCACCTCTGCACTTGAGGACCCAGCCCCCTGGTTCTTGGCTCTCAAGCTCCATCCTCACACAGTGAGACCTGTCCTCATGTCACTCTGCTTACAGCCTAGTTTCTCCTGACTCGCCCAACTGGAAGGACTTGTTCAAGAGTCATAATGACCTTTTGGAGTTCTCATCCTATACCCAGTGGTTCTCGAACTATAGTGTGCCTCAGAATGACCTAGAGGGCTTGTGAAAACACAGTTTGCTGGGTCCCAGCCTGAGATGTTCTGTTTCAGTCCGTTTGGGATGGGGACTGAGAATTTGCTTTTCTAGGTTCCAAAGTGACGTGGATGCTTCAAGATTGGGAACACATTTTAAGAGTCACTAATTAATCCCTCAGTCCACTCTCTTTTCTCCCACTGTTCTCAACAGTCAGTTAACAAACCCTGTCAATTATCTCATACACCCAGCTTCCCCTTCCATCCCCCACCATAACTCAGACCCCCATCACATTTCTCCCAAACCACCATCAGGACCTCCTCACTGGACTCCCTGCTTCAAATCCCCTGCAGTCACCCCGAAGACCATGATGGGTGCACAGTGCCACAGCAGTGAGAGGAAGGGTAGAAGGGGCCTCATTCTTCCTCCTCTTAATCCTCTAGATTACAACCTCCTGAATGGCAATAATCGTACTTACTCATCTGTTTCCCCGAGATGGCTGACCATAAGGTCACACATAAAGTGGGAATTCAATGAAGCCTTAATTTCTTTTTCCCAGATCCAGCCTCCCAGCTCCATCTCCCCGACCCCACCACTGTTCCTGCCCTCAGATCCTCCACTTGCCTGGCTCCTGGCAAAGACCTGGGTCCGAAATTCAGATTTCCAACTGCATCAGCTCCAATACCATCTGCTTAACACCCATCTGCTGGCTGAGGTCATCGCTGTGGCCACCATGAGGTGCCTCCCAGGGCTGCACCCTATCTTCAAGGTACCACCTCTACCCTCCACGTCCTACTTCATTCAGACCCCAGAGAAAGAAAAGAGGCCAAAATCCTATGATACTGCATGTGTGCATGCTAAGTTGCTTCAGTCGTTTCTGACTCTTTGCGGCACTATGGACTATAGCCTGCCAGGCTCCTCTGTCCATGGGATTTCTCTGGGCAAGAATACTGGAGTGGGTTGCCATGCCCTCCTTGGGGGGATTTTCCTGAACCAGGGATCGAACCAGGACTTTTACATCTCCTGCACTGGCAGGCAGGTTCTTTATCACTAGCACGACCTGGGAAGCCCCATCATATGATATTCTAGCAGCAAAACAAAATTTTATCACTTTGTAAAAGAAGGGAGAACAGAAGAAAGAAAGACTATCAATATTTTGAGACTTGTGTTTTAATTGAGTCACTTAACATTTCTTCAGGACATATTACAAAGGAACCCTCTGAAATTCTCAGATCTGACAATCTAGCAATGGGCCGAAAGTATAGCCAGAATATTGCCAGTAAACCAAAAGCCTTGTTCCTGCCTTAGAAGATTTATGATTTAGCCAGAAAGACACATGGTGCCCATAAGAACTACCCAGAGAACAACACCTGGACCTAGAATTTGAAATCACAAGACAGCTGGTAAACACTAGAATACTGATGGAGAATGTTCCACCCCAACTGAGAGTGCTAAGTAGGAACAGAGCAAGAGGCGAGGAGAGCGGCCAACAGGGTGCTTATTCCAGCCCAGGAGAGAAATGGAGAAACACACGTGTTGGCAAGGTGGTGACAAGAATTAAAAAAAAAAAATCAGGGACTTCCCTGGCCATCCACTGGTTAAGACACCACACTTCCACTGCAGGGGGTACAGGTGTGAACTCTGGTCTGGGAATTAAGACCCCACATGCCACATGGCTCAGCTAAAAAAATAATCATCAGACTTGGGGAAGAGAAGGAACAGTAGCTGCAGCAAGCCTGGGTATCAGACCAGAGCCAGAAAAGTCAGAGGTCTAAGCTACAACACTCAGGAGCCCAAGGGTGGGTGTGGGAGACTGACCTAGAAATCCTATAATTTTATAAAAGAGTGAGCTCAGCATCTACTGATCAGCTGACAGCAGCAACATAAGACTCATGCTTGCTTAAAAATGTCCTCAAAATCTTGATGACATCTTAGATATAGGGAACAAGGCAAAAGGGACAAAACTGCATGTGAACATATGCATACGAAACAGGCATATGAACCAGAGCAACTGTCAGAAACAGGAAGATGGGAAAGAAGCCAGCTGGGAAGCAAAGATGAGATTCAGTTTGAGGTTCATGGAATCGGAAGTGTTAGCAGGACACACAGGTGAGCACCTGGCAGGGAGAAGGACTGAACTGTACTTCAGCTGGGGGCCTGCCAGGTCCCTTAAAGTCTGGCCAGCAGTAGCTGTGGCCTCTCCGGAGGCTGGGGTGGCATCGACAAGATGGAGTCCAGTGTAATGAGCAGAATCTTGGATTTTACTCATCTCGTGGTGCTCCTAAAGCACTATCTTCTGCTCACCTTGGATAGGCTAAGCCTCTATTCACACTGAAAATATCCCCCCTTTACAAGTTGAGCCCTGTGCCCACCTGTCTCCACTCCCAGAGAAACATGTCAAAGAGCTGCGCTGTTATCAGCACACACAGGAGAGCCAAGCCAGCCAATGTCCCAGAGGTGATCTGTGCAGGCTCTGGATTCAGACTGCCAAGGCCTGAATCCTGAGTCCTAACCTCTGTACAGGTGTGAGCTCAGTGTCCTCATGTCTAAAAGGGGATGAAAGGAACACCATCGTGGGGCTGCTACAGGATAAAATGACCTAATAGCATGACACAGGCTAAAAGCTAAAAAAAATAGTTCTTGCAATTTTTATTATTGCCACCTTTTGGGGGGAGGGTGCTGTGCTGGGTCTTCATTGCTGCACAGGCTCTCTAGTTGTGGTGAGCAGGGGCTACTTTCTAGTTATGGTGCGTGGGCTTCTCACTGCAGTGGCTTCTCGTTGTGGGCTCTAGGGCCAGTGGGCTTCAGTAGTTACAGCCTGTGGGCTCTAGAGCTCAGGCTCAGTAGTTGGCATATGGCTTAGTTGTCCCCCTGGCATGTAGGATCTTAGTTCTTGGACCAGGGATTGAACCAGTGTCCCCTGAATTGGCAGGCAGATTGTTAACCATTGGACCATTAAGGAGGTCCCGATTATTATTAAGAGTTGTTTGTCCTCAGGCTTCTCCTCTCAAGTGGATGTTGGGCTTTCTATGACACTCAGCAACTTTCATGAACTTTCTGAAGTTTCAGTCAATGTGAGCTGCTTTGACCTTCTGACCCCATAGTTCTCTCTGGCTTATTCTGTCTCCAGCAACAACTACTTAGATAAGTACCAACCCTTTGTGAAATCTGTACATAAACTGGGTGGAAATGAAAACAAAATAGTCTGAGATACAAAGAAATGCATGGAAGATCAGATGGCCTTTTTTAATAGCTAAGGGAAAGCTATTTCTTGAAAAGCTTGCAAAATAGAGGGAGTCTAACTGCCTAATTTGGGGTGGGAGAAGATTTGATGACAGCCTCTCTGCTGCTGCGGTGGCTCAGCTGGGAAAGAATCCACCTGCAATGCAGGAGACCTGTGTTCAATTCCTGGGTTGGGAAGACCCTGTGGAGAAGGGAACAGCGACCCACTCCAGTATTCTGGCCTGGAGAATTCCATGGACTGTATAGTCCGTGAGGTTGCAGAGTCAGACATGACTGAGCAACTTTCACTTCACCTCTGCTGCTTACACAGGTGGCACAGTATGGCTCCTCCTCATTGAAGGTACCCAACCCTACCCCTCAAAACCTGACAATGAAGCAACCAGGGGATGGAGGTGTGACTTTGGGAATGAGTAGAGAGACTAATTTAAGCTGTGAAGATGACAGAGTATAAAAGGAAATCAGCCCTGGAGTAGGAAATGGCAACCCACTCCAGTATTCTTGCCTGGAAAATCCCATGGACAAAGGGGCCAGGTGGGCTACAGTCCATGGAGTCGAAAAGAGTTAGACCCGACTAAGTGACTGAGCACAGCACATATTATGATTTAAAATGGTTGTTTTCTCTTGTATTCCTACCAGAAGAGTCTGGGACTTCCAATGCTTCCATATCCTTGCCAATATGTTTAGTCTCTTAAACTTTTGACATTTTTAATAAATGTGTAGTATTAAAAAAAAAAAAGAAAGCAAATTAGGGACCCTGGTGGTCCAGTGGTTAAGACTCCATGCTTACAATGCAGGGGCTGCAGGTTTGATCTCTGGTCAGGGAACTAAGATCCCACATGCCACACAGCCAAAGTGGGGAAGAAAAAAAGTAAAAGCAAACCAAAAGGTGCTGATTCTCAAAGGCCACCTACACTCCAGGTAGAAATCATCAAGATAAATAACAGCTGCTACTCAAGGGCATCACTCATGTAAGCATCACTGCAGCCTCCTGAGACAAAAGACAAAAGACCCTATAATCACCTGCTGTTGTCACATGAGGATAGGAGATGAGAAAGGTCAACATTTAGAGGGTCCTGTACCTTGGATAAATATAAAGTGACTGTTGAAGTGAAACACAGGTCACTGTGGCTGGAGAGAATGACAACTCATAGAGGTGACAAGATCATGAGATGGTGTGATCATGGAAACAGGAAGAGACCAGCCTGTCAAGGGAGGAAAGCGTCAAAAGGAGAGAAGGCCATCATGCTGCCTACAACGAAGGACCTGAGCATGTCCCCCATAATCGACCCCCTCTGTTCTCCCCTATCCTAGCTCCTGATGCCACACATCCGCTACACAATGGAAATCAACACCCGGGCACGGACTCAGCTCATCTCAGACGGAGGCATATTTGATAAAGTGAGTGGGGCTGCATCACTGACCGACTTTCTACCATCTCTTGCTGCTTTCAAGATCCCAGACCAACCTGGATGAATGTCCTGACCCTTAAACCTATGAGCCCTTTATATCCATGTTTCTAAATGTGAAAACCCCACATCTGAGAACCCCTTGTATACTGTGCACTGGCTTCTTCCTCAAGGCCTTGCATCTCTCTTGTTCCAGGCAGTGAGCACCGGTGGAGGGGGCCATGTGCACTTGCTCCGCCGGGCCCTGGCTCAGCTGACCTACCGCTCCCTCTGTCCTCTTGATGATCTGGCTGATCGCCGCCTGCTGGGAACCCCGGGTGCTCTCTATGCCCGTGATGCTTTACGGCTCTGGGAAATCACTGCCCGGTGGGTGAGGGGGAAGCCAAGAAATGAGTCAGGGGTGGGGGGTGAGGGGGAGAGAAGGCGAGTGGGGCTCTGGTCCCAAGGTCAGCATGGGGCAGAAGGAACATGAAAACAAGAAGGTCCAGACAGGAGAAGCAGAGGAAGGGATCCTGGGGAGAAATGAGGAAGAGTGAGGAGTCAGTGGGTGGGGTCTGAGAAGCAGCCTGGGGACAGAGAGCATAGGTTGGCAAAGTTGTGGATGCAGCTGAGGGATCTGGACAAATCAGCGGTTTTGTTAGGAAGAAAGGCTGTCAATAATGTCTGGGAATGCCCAGAACTAAGGACCCACGTGTCCTTCCTCTCTAGGCTAGTTTGTAGAAAAGCTAGGAGTGACCCAAAAGGCAGGCCTAGAAGACTCTATACTCAGACACAGCAACAGTCAGCTGGCCAGAGACCATGGAAAAGTGTAGAGGTCAGAGGCCAGAGCCTTCTCCTCTTAAGGAGCTCACCTCCCTTCTCCCCGGGGCAGGTATGTGGAGGGGATTGTCCACCTCTTCTACCGCGGGGATGATGTTGTGAAAGGGGACCCTGAGCTGCAGGCCTGGTGTCGGGAGATCACTGAGGTGGGGCTGCGCCAGGCCCAGGAGCGAGGTGAGATCCCTCCCAGAGATGGGAGCTCCTCAGACACTGAGTTTAGAACCCCACCTGTCCATCACACCCGCCCCGCCCTCCACACTTCAAACATCTGAATACCATTCCCACCTCCTAAGACTCAGGACAATTCCCAATGCCCAAGGATCAGCCTCTTCAGAGACCCTGGCCATCATCCTTCACTTCCATCCCCTCCCCTAACCTGCACAGCATGGCACCCCCCGGGAACGGTGGGGGATCTTCCCAGGCCCCGCTGGGGCTCACGTTCTCTCCTCATGGCTATCTGTTCCTTCCTGAGAATATAAATGGGAAGAGTTTTCCACCGAAGTCCATGATGACCCCTTCTGTTTTCCCTCTTCTTCTCCTGCTTCCCACTGTCCAGCACATACAGAGAAAGTCCAGGCCCACTGCACCATGACCACAGTACAAGGTCATTTCTAGATGTAGACACAATGCTCTCCAGGCTTTGGCTCAACCCTGAAGCCAGTGCCCCCTTGGGGCTCATTTCGCTTTGGCCAATCTAGCCTCCCCCACAATCAAGTCACTACCTTCAGCACCCCCACTGGCATTCTACCCTCTGGGGAAGAAGCAGCCTTTCTCAGTTCTTCCTGGCTTCCTCCTCCTCTCTCTAACATATACAGGCCAGCATGGCCTGCTCCAATTCTTCCTTCTGTCCCTGTCCCTCACATTTCACACCGACATCTCTGCCTCTGTGGAGCAACTACAGATATTTACTGGGGAAGAGCTATGGCCAGCCTCTGGGGGTGCTGTGAGCACTAGCCTAACACTCGCCCTCAAGAGGGAGCGTCCCTCTGGGGCATCAGTGGCTGCACCACCCCCCTTCCAGGACCAAACTTTCTCTGGTACATCTGAGTCTGTCCCCTGGGCTCCACAGGCTCCCAGGAGACCCCTCCTCCTCTCCTTGGCCATCTTTTCCCCAACCAGCACCTACATTTGGAAAATGAAAATAAACATCCACATGTAAATTTCAGCCTGTCCAGTAAGTGCTTCTCATTCTCTCTTCATCCACTCTCCTTCAGTTCTCACAGCCCACCTTTGCCTCATTTTCTCAACAGACTTTTTAGGGGAAAATGTGCTAAAATAAAAACAAACCTGAGATTAGCAGTTAGGAACCCGAGCTCAAGGTCAGCCTCTACCTTTTCCCAATTACCACAGTCCTGTTGTTTGTTTAGCCGCTCAGTAGTGTCCAACTCTTATGAGACGGCCTAGACTGTAGCTCACCAGGCTCCTCTGTCCATGGGATTTCCCAAGCAAGGATACTGGAGCGGGTTGACATTTTCTCCACCATGGAATCTTCCCCATCCAGTGAACTAAACCCATGAACCCACATCTGCATCAGCAGGTGGATTCTTTATCACTGAGCCACCAGGAAAGCTCTAGAAGCAGTTTAATCTCTTTAGTCTTTGATTTTTTTAATCTATAAAAAGGGAGTGATTACATTTGTTCACCTTAACTGACAGGATTACTGGGTCTCTGAGCCCCCACCTCCACTGTAAATTGAGTGGCTTGAACATAATCTTTGCAGAAAGCCTCTCTTGCCTGTGACATTGTAAATCTATAACTTCGCTTATCCTTCACATTATAAATTAGACACCTGCAATTCCCTGTCTGCAAATAGGAGGAAACATCCCTAAATTCTCAACCACTTTTTGAGGCAAAGGGTTTCTGATCACTCAAACCTTTTCAGCCCCCCACCCTTTCAAAATAACAATAATTGCTTATTGGAACACTTGTTCCATATCAGGTGATTAACTCTTATAAAGTAGGTATCACTCTCATTTTACAGGTCAGAAATTGAGGTTCAGAGAGCTTAAGTAACCCAACTGTATTACTTGAGTCTGAGTTGAAGCCCACATCTGATGCAAATATATTTGAACAAATGAACTAAACAATTCCAATTCCAAAATGTAGACATTCAAAGACATCAGCCTTTATTTCTCTCGTCTCAGACTGTAGCCTCTAAATCCTGTTCCGTTTCTGCCCAGGTTTCCCTGTCTCCTTCCAGTCCCAGAATCAACTCTGCCATTTCCTTACCATGTGTGTCTTCACGTGTACTGCTCAGCATGGGGCCATCAACCAGGGCCAGGTATGGAGCACTGAAAGCCCAGATCCCTGAAGGCAAGTGTCCGGACTTGGGATGCCCATGGGAGAGATGGGGTTCAAACCCTAAGTACTAGGATCCTAGGGTTGCAGTTTCTTCCCCCAGCTGGACTGGTATGCCTGGGTCCCTAATGCACCATGCACGATGCGGATGCCCCCACCCACCACCAAGGAAGATGTGACAATGGCCACAATGATGGGCTCACTACCTGATGTCCGACAAGCCTGTCTTCAAATGGCCATCACATGGCATCTGGGTCGCCGCCAGCCAGACATGGTAAGAGAGGACTCTGGGGAAATGGAAATGACAGTTGGAAGGGAACAGCAGAGTGAAGGGCAAGGCTCTAGGTGTGTTTGCCTTTGAACTCAAAACTGACTGACCCTTTATTCTTTCTTAGGTGCCTCTGGGGCATCACAAAGAAAAGTATTTCTCAGACCCCAAGGCCAAGTCTGTACTAAACCAATTCCAAACAGACCTGGAAAACTTGGAAAGGGAAATTACAGCCCGCAATGAGCAACTTGACCTGCCTTATGAATACCTAAAGCCCAGCCACATAGAGAACAGCATCACTATTTGAGCTCTTGGGCACCCCCTGCCATGGGAAGACTGCAGATCAGCTCTGGGGCTGACAATTCCATCTTGAGTTTCACCGTTTCCTAAAGTCTCTGCTGTGTTGCTGTTCAGTTGCTAAGTCATGTCTGACACTTTGCAACCCCCTGGACTGTAGCACACCAGGCTCCTCTGTCCTCCATTATCTCCCAGAGTATGCTCAAATTCATCCTGCTGCTGAGGTTATTTCTTTTCCCAATTAAACCACCTACGTCTGTATCCTATGAGCCCAAGGGCCTTTGTAGGCATGCATGCTGAGTCGCTCAGTCGTGTCCAACTCTTATGCAACCCCTATGGACTGCAGCCTGCCCCTCTGTCCATGGGATTCTCCAGGCAAGAATACTGGAGTGGGTCGCCATTTCCTATTCCAGGGGATCTTCTCAATACAGGGATCAAACCTGTCTCTCCTGCACTGGCAGTTGGATTCTTTACCACTGCACCACCTGGGAAGCCCCTAAGGAAAGGGTCTGATAATATGTTAGGCTTTGGAGGCCACACTGACTCTTGTCACAGCTATTCAACTCTCCTGTTGTAGCACAAAAGCAGCCACAGGCAATGTGTAAATGAATGTGATTATGTTCCAATAAAACTTTATTTATGGACAGTGAAATATGAACTTGTGTCACAAAATATTCTCTGTTCAGTTTAGTCAACCATTTTAAAATGCAAAAAACAACAAGACCCTGTGGATTTTCGCCCTCAGGGGCAGCACCTACACCAGGGTGCCCCTGCAGCAGCCTGAGGCACTGACCTTACCTGAGAAACATCCAGAGAATGCTGGGGGGCGGGGAGGGCCAGGACAATTTCTTGGAGAAATCCACAACCTCAACTCATCCTCCTTCCCCAGAAGCTTGACTTCACGCTTGGTGGCCAACTTAAAAATTCCTGACTCTACCTTGGCAGCTTTCCCTCCACCCCTGTTTATCCTATTCATACACCTACCCCAAAGTCCTGAATGAGAATGGTGCTTCTAAGGCAAAAGAAAAACTTTCACTCCAAAATGCTCTCCTTCCAGATGGTACCAAACAAAAGAGACACAAGATACATGTCTGAAGGTCACTTTCCCAGGAGCTTCAGTGCCCTGGGGTCTCAAGTGTTTCCCAGGTTCCAAGTTCTCTTTCAGGATCCTTTAAAGAACAATAATATGTAAAAAATAAAGGGGAAAATAACACAAAGTTATGCTAACCACTGGCAGTGTCTGTCTGGTTCTGGGGTCTTGGGATCAAAATGACCCCTCTCAATTATACTACGACCACTGTCCTCACTAGAAAAGGTACAAAAAACTCAGTGAAAAATTATGTTCTTCAAACACCACTATTTCCCTGAATAATGTTTATACATCTGTTTTTCACCAGTGAGGTATACAAAATTTTTCTTTGGAAGGTATATAATCTACTCATATCTTTAAAATTTTGGACTCTATCCTGCCCAAAGTTCCGTTTTCGCAGTTTACAGTAAAGAAGAAAAGTGACATTTCTTCTCCAGCACATTTGGCAGGGCCATTCACCTTAACAGTTTGTTCATTGAGTCCGCTTTCCCTGGACTTTTCCTAACGCCCTTATTTTTCCTGGATTTGGTATCCAAAACTCTTCAGTTTTCCATGTTTGGTAACAAAATGTTACTTAAGGATTTCCAATGCCAAGAACTCTCAGCAATTTTAAAGCGTTCTAACCACGACAGCACGCCTGGGCTCGGGAAGGGGCTGCCATCTCCTTCTACCGTGTCAGAGTGTCTATTTCAAAGAGTAGGGATGAGTAGAGAGGAGACAGAGGTGTTCTCTCGGTGTAAATCTGTCTCAATTACCATTTTCCCATCGCAGGACACCACTCAAGACTAAGGTATCTGAGACCAAAATGACATAATCTCAATCCTTGGCTGCTGACAGCCCATCGCCAGGTTTACCTGGAGCTCCGCCAGAGATAAACGCTGTTCCAAGGCTACCACTTCTTCCTCGTCACGTGTCTTGACAAACTTGGTCACGTGACACCCTAGCTCCACCCATTCCAAACTGAAGAGGGGGGTAGCCAAGAAACCGGAGGACTTTGCTCCTACAAAACTCGCTCCCCAGTTATTGATCCATAGTGGTCAATAACGGACTCTAATTTCAGAAACACCGCCCTTCCTCGCGGAAGTCCCGAGAGGACCCGGAGGCGGCAGCATTCTCCGCCTGGCGCCCCCCGGCCCGATGGTTGAGCCCGGAGACCACGCCCCCTCGGTCTCCCTCCCAGCTCTGCGTCCTCCGCAGTTCGAGCCCCCAACTTCAGCTCTCTTTTTCCCAGCTCCTAGGGGCTTCCTCTCACCGATTTCCTACCTGGCCCACATCTAGGCGATCCCCGACTCCTTTCTTCATGGCGTCGCTTCTGTGCTGTGGGCCCAAGCTGGCCGCCTGCGGCATCGTCCTCAGCGCCTGGGGAGTGATCATGTTGGTGAGGGGACTGCCGGGCGGCTACCGGAGAGGAGAGGGCTTGAGGGCCTCATTGTTGGAGGGCTGGAAGGCTAGGAGACTCCAGGCCTTGAAAAGCAGCAAACAGGCTGGAGGGGGTGGTTGATTAGCCTCTGGAGAATGAGACAGAACTGCATTGAGAAATGGGGATTTGGAGGGGAGAGGGGAAGCTGGAGCTTGGAATGGGAGCCGGGGCTGGTAAATCTGGAGTACCCTCAAGGTTAAGAGAAAGGAGACCTAGGTTCTTGAGAGATCCTTGAGCTTAATGGAGTGCAGTATGGAGAGGGACCGCTTGTTCCCGAAATGGGTAGCTGGGCCTTGTTTCCTCAGGACTCTACCCACTCCACTAAAGGGGGAAATATTATGGAGAAGTGCTGATTCCCTCTACCCCCGCTTCGCCGTGTCCCGTGATAATGACGCCTCCAGAGAGGAGGATAATCAGGGTTCCTGGGTTGCTCACTATTCCTGCCCTTGCCCCAAACACGTCTTCTCTGTGTCACCATTCAAGCTCTATTCCAGGCGACCGGAGTCCAGATCCGGGAACAACCATACCTAATCCCAGCTCATTCTGGTTAATTCCCAGACCCAGATGTTGTGGCAACATTCGAAGTGGGAGGAGTTCAGGCAGCGACCAGGTCAGATGCCTAAGTTAAAACAACCTACCCTTTCTCTTTTTTCAGATAATGCTCGGAATCTTTTTCAATGTCCATTCTGCTGTGCTAATTGAGGACGTTCCCTTCACGGAGAAAGATTTTGAGTAAGTGGAGAGGCGGGGAATGTGGTCAAAATTGGCGCGGGGCGGGGGGGGGGGGGGGCGGAGAATCGCAGGAGCCTGGACACTTGGGGCCCAGAGGCTGGGAAGCTGGGTGCTCTAGCACCCAGGAGCAGTCTTGGGCGTCAGAGCTCAGAGACCATCCTAAACCCACCGCTTCAGATGTGGCTGTTAAGAATGTTACTGGACTTCTCTGTGCCTCCGTCCACCCCTGCAAAGTGGATGTTATAACAACTCACCCCAAAGGGTTATGAAGATTGAGTAAGATAATACATGTTAAAGCGTTTAGAACGGTACAGGGCACATAGTAAGTGCTCCGTAAATGTGTGCTGTTAATGTTTCTGATATTTCTCTGCCTAATCCCCACCCCTAGGAATGGCCCCCAGAACATATACAACCTTTACGAGCAAGTCAGCTACAACTGTTTCATCGCGGCGGGCCTTTACCTCCTCCTCGGAGGCTTCTCTTTCTGTCAAGTTCGGCTCAATAAGCGCAAGGAATACATGGTGCGCTAGAGCACGGTCGCGCTCCCCCTCTCCAGCCCCCTCCTCTATTTAAAGACTCTCCCCACCAGGTCACAGCCCCCCGCCCCCCATTCTGGTGCCCTCTGCGGACTAGGTTTTCTTGGCGAGAGACTCAATCCCTTGTTCTCCAACCTCTGGCGCCCGGCTCCTGCGGAGGGAGGTTGGGGTTGGCCGTTCCCTGTCCCTCCGGCCCCCTCGCCTCGTCCCGTTCCACAATAAAGAGAAACTGCTCTCTTAAGACTTGTGTGTGTGTCTGGGTTAGGAGGCGGGTACCAGGGCTAGAGGTCGGCCTCCAAATAGGGAATCCCGACCTCTCGACGGAAGTGTAGTGAAACCGGGCCGGAAGTGAGGCGACGTCTTCCACTCTCCTTCTCGCGCGCCGAGGCGGCCTAAGTAACCGGGGCTGGTGAGGCGGTGAGCGCCCGAGCTGGAGCCAATCAGCTGCGGGAAGGGGCGGGACTTCCTGCGCGGGGGCCGGAGCCGTTGCGCTGCCTGGCTCTTCGTGGTCCCGGCTCCGAGGTAGCGGCGGCGGCGGCGTCTCAGTGAGGAGGCGCGCGGGGCCATGACGTCAGCGTCCACAAAGGTTCGACCTCTCTCGCGGACAGCGCTCCCTGGCGGCCACGGGAGGGCGGGCCCCCCAGTTGGCTCGCGGCTCTTCCGTCCCGGGCGGGGGGCGGGCGGGAGTCCAACCTGGGGTGGGGCTAGGGGCTCCGGGCGGGACGGCGCGGGGCTGTGCGCCGGCCCCCCGTAACGCTGCCCCGCCCCCAGGTCGGAGAGATCTTCTCCGCGGCGGGCGCCGCCTTCACGAAGCTCGGAGAGCTGACGATGCAGCTGCATCCCGTGGCCGACTCTTCCCCCGCGGGGTACGTGAGCCCGGGCTGGGGACCTGGACGCTGAGTGCAGACGCTGGGACTCGATAACAGACACCAACACTCTCTAGGGCAGGGACAGATGTTAGTTTCCCTTCGTGCCTGGCACAGCGCAGAGTAGGTCATAATAAATGATTATTGAATGAATGAAGGACAGATCAACCACAGACTGAGGCTCGTAATCCGGACTCATTTCACAGTTCTGTCCTGCTGCGCATTGGCAGAGCATAGACCACCACCACTACCCATTCACCCCAAATCATGTGGAATTCCGTCAGACTGCAACAGATTGTGTTTAGGGATTCTGTTTGTAAGACACCCCCCCTCCGCCCCGACACTTGTTGAATTGGTTTCAGTGGGCTGTTTACAGCAGCTGTTTCACGTTGATGGGGGGAACGGTTTTCTTGTAAGGTTGTTGCATTATCGTTTGGATGAGGGTCTTCAGGGTTCCCGCAGGGCCTTAAGAATTTTTTTGCTTTTTTGTTTTTTAAAGAGGACCTCTTTATGGAAGGGGCCCCAGACATTGCAGGGAGGAGGCTGGTTGCTGTGGAATGCGTAGCCTGTGGGCTGGCTCCACACCCCTCCTCCTCCCACTTTCGCTATTCCCCTCTCCCCTTCTGACAGTGCCAAGTGGACGGAGACGGAGATAGAGATGCTGAGGGCTGCTGTGAAGCGATTTGGGGACGATCTTAATCACATCAGCTGTGTCATCAAGGAACGGACAGTGTGAGGGAGGGCTGGCTGGCAGAGAAAGGGCGGTGGGCAGCTTTCTTCCTCCATACCCATTTGTTTCATCTTCCTCAAACTCCCTTCCAGCTCAACATCTTTCCTACTCTGTTAGCAAGAGTCCCTGGAGAACTGAAAGAATAAAAGAATTGTCACAATTGGTCAGAAGTTACTAAAATGCTGTGGTCATCAGGACCTTAGATGAATTTAATTTTAGGTTGCCTAGTAGTTTAAGATACCCAACAGTTGAATTTGCTAATAGGAATTCCCTGATTATTTATACAGATCTTTTGAACACTCCTGTGGTGTTTCCAGGGATATGATCCTGAACTAGTCGATCAGGATCTGTTAATAAGTTTCAATCTACCTGTTGGTCACCCAGGCTTACCTGGTAGCCTTCCACATCCATACATCTCTCCCACAAGAGAATTAGAGGGTGGGCCTTTCCCACTCCTCAGTTGAGGGACTCCACTCTTCACGCTCCATTTGCCTTCATTGGCTGCAAAGCTTCCAGGAAAACAAGAACACTAGCAAAGGTCGTTGAGGCCCTCACCTGGATTCCTATGAAGGAGCTCCCCAGTGTTCCTTCAGAGTGGCCCATCTCCCCTTCCCCCACCCCCATTCCCTCAGCCTTTCTTATGACTCCTTTCCTAACTTGCTCTCTCGTCTCTTTAGGGCTCAGATAAAGGCCACCGTGAAACGAAAGGTATATGAAGACTCTGGTATCCCCCTTCCAGCCGATTCACCCAAGAAAGGGCCCAAGAAGGTGGCATCTGGTGTACTGTCACCTCCTCCAACTGCTCCTCCACCAAGCAGCTCCAGTGTCCCCGAGGCCGGGGGTCCCCCCATAAAGAAACAGAAGGCTGGTGAGGGCTGTGGAGTTGCTGCCTGGGGATTAGATGTCCCATCCGAGGTTCAGTGAGAGAGTTGGGCTTTGGTCAGAGGACAGATCTCTTTTCCTATCCCAGTGAAGGTTCCAGAAACTGGCTGGGGTGGGGGGGAAGGGAGGGAAGGAAAGGTTGAAACTTTGGGAAGTGGGTGGGGTGGGGGGAGAACCATCGGGAACCTAGAACCTAGCTTGTGCCCCACTCCCAGATGTGACACTCAGTGCTCTGAACGACTCGGACGCCAACAGTGACCTGGTGGATATTGAGGGGCTAGGAGAAACTCCTCCAGCCAAGAAACTCAACTTCGACCAGGGTAGGAGTCCTCTTCCTCCCACAACAGCTGAAGGGATGGGGGATGGTGGGGAGGTTCTCAGCAGGAGCCCCCTCCCATGAACTGGGGAAGAGAAAGTTCCCTGCTATGCATGCAGGGTCAGGTCTATAAGGAGCCAGGTGCTCTGGGTAGGCGGGAGTCGTACTTAGGACTCGCTCCATCTCGGCCCATTTTACTTCCTGTTCCAGACAGCCTGACCCTGGATTCTGGCCTTCTCTTGACCTCCGCTGATCCTCCTCTGCTCTCATGCTGAGTCTTCCACCTCTGACCCCTCTCACTATTCACCCTGGACCTGTGGATCGCTTGGGACTCTGAGCAAGGCCTGCATGAGACAGGGTGGAAAGGCTGCCAAGGGCAGCCCACCTTGCTGTTCCTGTATGAGCATCTGCACCCCAACCCCTGAGTCCCCCCCCAACTGATGGACGTTTTTATACAGAAAACAATAAAGGTCTCCCTCTCAGCCTGGTGCTTTCTGCCTGACATTACTGGAGTACAGGGGACACTCTCTGCTTAGCTCCCGGGGCTTAGCCCCTCCTCGGCAGCTCTCACCACCCTGCCTGGAGCAGCACAGCCAATATTGGCAGGCTCTCTTCCCAGTGCCAATATTTCTGTGCTGCTAGAGCCAGGGGAGCTGGGTGTGGGCAACAAAGACTCCAGTTTGCTCTCTGGAGGCAGCATGTACTCCGGGGTCTCTGGCAGCCAGTACTCCTGAGACTGCCTTGGGGACTTCAGAGGGGCAGCTTCCAGGGCTTTCACACCTCCCATTCCCCGCCCTACCCCACCCCACCTCCCACCTCACCAGAAGGCCCCAGATGTTTTCTGTGTCGCTTCTCCAGGGTGGCCTCCCAGGCCAAGCCTCAGCGGTGCCTCCCCCACCCTCGCTCTAACACCACAGTGTGGTTTGGACGTGGCCACAGTGCCGTACAAACCACAGTGTGCTGCTGGGGCGGGAGCAGGACTGGGGTGGGTTGAGAGAAAGGGAGCACAAGACAGTGCTGTGAAGACCCCCCCCACCACCAAGGGTGGGGAGATAGAGAAGGCTGAAAGGCAAACATGGCCCCAAGAAGGGTTGGGGAAAACAAGAAACTCGAGCTAGGAGCTGAGCAGGCAACTGAAGGGAGAGGGGCCTATGGGGTGAGCTTACAGTGTAGTAAGACTGGAACCATCTTCCCTGTAGGAACTCTGCTCAAGGGATCCCTAGTTTGGGGGGGGTGGGATCTGAGGAAATAGGGAATGACTGGGGGGGACCAACAGACTGCCTCTCGACTCAGCAAGGGCAGGGACCTAAGGCTTCCTGTATCTGTTCCTCCCCTCCCTGGGTCAGAACCCAAGAGAAAGCAAGGAAAGACAGAAGGCCAAGGACAGCAGTGTTGGGAGTTGGCAGTCCAGAGGTGGTGGGGCCGGAACATGGTGGGGAGAGGGGGGCCGGAAGTCGCCCTGGGCCCTGGGCCTGCCACAAGATGGAGGCCAAAGGCAGGAAATGGAGGCCAGGGGGAAAGGGGAGCAGCAGGGCCCAGGAAGAGGGCCTTCTGGACCTGGGGGCCAGGTATTCAACCCCCAGGACTGTCCCCACTCCTCATGGCCCCCCAGGACCCAAGTCCCACCCCCCGCAACAACCCCTACCAGCCTATTCACCAGGCCCAGGAAGGCGGGCCCACCCCAGAAAGCCACGTTTAAGCTGACAAACATGCCTCTCCCCACCCCCACCCTAGGCCTTCCCTCAGCCTTTTTCTCCTGTCTAGTACTTGATTTTTAAAAAACACCCCCCAGAAAGCAAAATCCAAGGGCCAAAATCCCTTCCGCAAATCAAAATAATATCCTCTCAAACCCAAAAGTTACCCTCCCTTTACCACCCCCGCTTCCGACACACCCCCCAAAACTCTTAGCAATCAAAAAGATCTAAGATGGTGGTGTAAGCAGTCTTTTTAGGCCCCGGGGGATGCCAGACCCCCTCAGACGAGACCCCTATCTGTCCCACATCAAATCCTGCCAAGGCTTCCTGCTCCTCACACGCCCCTCCATAACCCCAAAACTGAACAGCTGCCCCCAGCTCCCATCCTCGGCAGAGCCTTTGTGGGGATGGATGAAACAGAAATCAAACACTATACTAACGGCTGGGGATGTTGGGGGGCCCTCTGGTCTCAGTCTTTGGTTTCTATCTGGGGGACTGCAGTTTCGGGGTGTAAGAGAAAGCCTCTTCAATTATCCCCCCAATTTCAAGACTGACAAAGCCCAACCCCACCCCAGCACGCACCTCCAAACCTCCCCCCCAACCGCCACGTCTCTCCTGAAAACAGGGGACACTTTCCTCCCCACTTACCTCAGCTACTCTCCCCTGAGATCCTGGTCCCCTATTTTGAAGGGAACAAAATTTGGGGTGCATCCCTCACATTTGGGGTGCAGGAGAAAGGAGCCGCCCCAGTCGCATCGCTGGCCTCCTTCCTCTCGGCTGGCTCAGGGAGTGGGGAGTGCCCTAGGGAGGGGGGACCCCCACAAGAGAGCACAGGAGGGGGTTCCTCCACTTCCAGTCAGAATTGGGGACACCCCCCCCCAAACCCGTCCCAGCCCATCCGTCTCCAACTCGGCGGGAGAGGCAGCTGCAGTGCCCCAGTCAGATTCCCCCAACACTACATTCCTCACCCCATCTAGAGGGGTCCCGGGGGCCCCAAAAAATCCCAAAAAAATCTAGGATGTTGGCAGGACGGTCCTGGACTAGCTCCCCAAATTTGGGGTCCTCAGATCCCCCCGTTTTTTCAGGAAAATTCCGTCTTTCACCTGCCTCCCGCCAGCCCTGCTCTGTCCCGATGCCAATTTTGGAAGTCACTCCCTCCTTCCTCCTCCCGTCTCTCCAGGCCCCCCCGCTCGGGGGCTAGGGTCCAGGACACCTGGCTTCCAGGCCGGGGGAGGGGGGCACTCCTCGAAGGGCTAGGGGCCAGGAGGTCAAGCTCATAGCCCCAGTCTTAGGGAAGCAGGAAAGCCCGATCCTCCCTTCCCCTCCCCCCTGGCTGGTCTCCGTGGTGGTTTAGGAAAGCCTGGAGGATTGGAATCTGCCATTGCTGTTGCACAGGCAGTTTTTTTTTCCTTGGGTTGGGGGGGTGGGCGGTGGGAGGGAGAGACGGGAGGAGAGCCGAAGAGAGCAGGGACCAGGGTGTGCAGAGCTGGCCTGGCTTACCCCCTAGCCCCTGCTGCCGTGAGGAACCCCCCCCCCATCTCACCCACACTCCCAGTCCTCTGTCTGCTTTCTGTTTGGGGCTCTTATCCTAGAAAATGAGGGTACAAGATTCACCTCCTTGTACCTCATCACCACCTCTCCTTGCCACAATTTCAACAGCACTGCCCTAGTCAGGAGTATCCACCTGACCACAAGATACCCCACTTCCCCCCACCTTCCCCTAAGTCAAGGTGTGCACCCTTAATAAATTGGGGTTCAGAATCTGAAACTACCTTTTCTCCCTTAGATCTATCCAGGCCACATAAAAATAAGAAGAGATACACTCCCTTTCCAAATTTCTTCCTTCAAATCTTGGGCATATTTGGAGGTTCACTAAAGAGACTTCTAGAGTCTAGGGTGAGAGGGAGCTAAAAGCAAAGGATATCCCAAACCATTATCATAGTCCCAATTAAGTGAACCCTAAAATCAATCTCACATCATGATCCACCACTCAGCTTCAACAAATGCACCAAAGAGTGGCAAAATACCCCAAAGTAAGGACACCCCAAAACTTTAGTCTCCTACCCTCGGCCCTCACCTTGTTTTTTCTCCTGGAAAAAGCCTCCTGGCTCTCATGCATACACAGAAATATCACCCTCCTCAAAGTAAGCTTGCACAACATTCAAATATAAAGCCTTGCTCCCTGGCATGGACCTACAATCACAGAAGGCCTTCAAATTTGCTCCCAGGTTCCTATTATGTTCCACCTCAAGCTAATAAAAACCCCAAATTGAATTTCATGTCCCCCAAATATAATCTGAACCTCAAAACTTATCTGGTACCCCCATCAGACTGTACCCTAAAACCACCATGATTACTCTACTTGAAATCAGATAGGCCACAAACACCAATGACTATGAATCCCCTAAACCAAATTTTCATCCATCTCCGAAGAACACGTCGCTGACTGTGGGTGTCAGAATCCCCAGAACTAATGTAGCTTCAAATCAGCTCCATGAAAGTGTTAGTCACTCAGTCGTGCCCAACTCTTTGCAATCCCATGGACTGAAGCCCACCAGGCTCCTCTGTCTATGGGATTTTCCAGCCAAGGATGCTGGAGTGGGTTGCTATTTCCTTCTCCATGGGATCTTTCCGACCCAGGGATTGAACCCAGTTCTCCTGCATTGCAGGCAGATTCTTTACCAACTGAGCCACCGGGAAGCCCAGTGTAGCTTCAAAATCAGCTCCGTACCTCAGACTTACTACTGGCCCTCAACCCTGAATGCAGCCTTCAGGGCCCAGAATGATTAGAGTAACTCAACACCCCACAATTGACAGAGACCAGATAACATAAAAGTAACTCCGCCCTGATACCAAAGGAGCCACAGGTCTAACTCCCACCTCCAACTGGGCAGAGACCAAAGTAACCCTCATTTGCAGAATCCACCATACCAACTCCAATCCCTAATTCCCCATTCCCAATGTCTCAGCAGTTCTTTCCTGCACCCCCAAAAAAGACATCCTCAGTTCTGAAGAGGAGGGCCCCAGGTCTCTATATGCAGCCTCACGGATTATGGCCAGTCATGGCTACTCTGGGCAACGGTAGACGTTCCTGAGCCCAAATGCAAGTCCTGCTTGGCAGCTAGACTCAGCTTGGCCCCCGTTCTCTAAATGAACCTCGTCTCCCCAAACAAAATACGAGGGTGTGACCCGTGCCTATGTCCCAGCTGAGGGACTTAAATTGGGGTTATCAGCCCCTTCTGCCCTCTCTCCCTTCTGTTACCCTGAGGCCCTCCCTTTCCTCTTCTGTCTGTTCAGTGCATCTAACTTTTATATTAATGTTCACTAAAAAATTCACCTCTAAATACAGATAATAGCATCTAGGTTAATAAGAAAGAAATCCTGGGCTCCCAGGGCTCAGACCCCCCGCTCTTTGTCCCACTCATTTCCCTGGTTCCCAAAGCCCGCGGATTTCTCACCCCAGGAAGGAATCCCAGGTTCAGAGGGAAGTCCCTTCTTGTCGCCTAACTCTCCCTCCCTCCGCCCAACCCTAGTCCCCTAGACAAAGTAAATGCGAGCAAAGAGGGGGAGAATGACCACCCAGACCTAATCAGTCCTGCGCCCCCGGCTGAATGGACCCCCAGCCGAGTGGAGACGAAGGGCGCTGCGAGGCTAGTGCTCTTCCGCCCCCTCGTGGAAGGAGCCGAACATTGCCGAGCTTCGCCTGCTTGCCGCGCTGGACCGCGGCGTCCCGCCAGCCTCTAAGCGTCGCCGACGGGCGGGTGCTCGAAGCCCTAAAGAGCTGGGACTAGGGGAGGGCGAACGGGCTTTGGGCGGGAATCTGCCTCTCTGGATCCCTAAAAGGATTCAAAAGAGGGTCGGGAGCGAAAAGTTCGGACCCTAGGTCTCTTGAGCGTCTCTCGGCCGCCACCCGGGGCTTTCCCCACCTCCTCGAGGGGAAGCAGCTGGCGGAGCCGTCCGGTCGCAGGACAATGGAAGGAAACGAACTAGAAATCATATCCGCCCCCTCCCTTACGCGCCCGGTCAGAGCCCCTCTTTTGCAGGCCCCGCTAGAGAAGCCTGTTGAATGACCACACCCTCCCTGTCTGAGACCCCACGGAAGCCCACTGTCTCCTCCCCAAACCGGGTGTTTCTTTGGGCTCCCCTCAATCTCCCTTAATACCGTACATTGCCGGGGCGGCGGGTTGCTGTATTCACTCCCCTGTAACAGGCTCCTTTCTAAAACCAGCACATCAATTTTCGCTGTCCCGAGTCCCCCGACGACCCAGGTCACCCAATGACTTAGTCACCCATGTTTCCCATCTCAATATCCCCAACCTCCTCCCCAATACCAATGTCCCACCCTCGGTTCCACTTTCAGTGGCCCAAGACCCCTTACGTTACGACCACCCAAGCGTTTCCAAGGTCCCGCCCTGGAGCCGGAGACCCCGCCCCGGGTTCGCCATCTGGAGAGCGAGGGAGGAAGGAAGGATACAGACCCAGGCGTTCACCCCACCTCCACCCCCGCCCCCGACATCCCGGCCAGATAAAGGAGCCGAGGCCAAGAGGGGAGAGAGACCCCGCCCCCCTTGAGAAGAGAAGCTGAAGCCCCTGCAGGACGGGGGTAAGAACCAGGGACTGAGGGAGGCAGACTCCTGGGTCCCTTAAGTGGGTTGGGGCTTGTTGATGGTAGGAAGACCGAGGCCCAGAAATTGGGCTAAACTAGGGATCCAGGACTAGAGAGTGGAATTTCGTGGTTCGGGGAAGGGAGCTTCGATTGGGATATGGAGGGATGAGGACCACAGGTCGTCTGGGGTCTCCAGGCAGGATCGTACACTTGAGACCAGGCGCGCGGTGAGGCAGAGGGGAAATAAGGATACTGGAAGGGCATTGGGAGTCTAAGTAAAGGCGCTGTGGACTGGATTCCCAACGCTTGCCATCGACGCATTGGTGTGGGAAACTTCAACTCGCTCCAAGCGCTGTGTTAGAGGAGGAAATCGGGCGATACTGAGGTTGAGGGCTGACAGAACGCGATGAATTAAGTAAAACTGCGTGAGCCGGAGCCGGCGGCATTCCCGTGCACCTCAGGAGGAAGAGGCAAACTGCGGAAGGGAAGGCGTCTTGGGACGACAAGGATCCCTGAGCCCTGTCCTTGGCACCCGCAGGCCTCCGTCGCTATGGGTTCCACCGCTACCCCGGAGGGAGCGCTGGGCTACGTCCGCGAGTTTACTCGCCACTCCTCCGACGTGCTCGGCAACCTAAATGAGCTGCGCCTGCGCGGGATCCTCACTGACGTCACGCTGCTGGTTGGCGGGCAACCCCTTCGAGCTCACAAGGCAGTTCTTATTGCCTGCAGGTTCGAGGGGTGGCTCATGGAGTGGGGTGGGACCAAATGGGAAAGGGGCGGAGCTATAAGGTCTTTGGGAGGACCCGGAAGCCAAGCCTTCCACAAACAGGAGGCGGAGCGACAGGGAATTGAGGGCGGGGTGAGAGTCAGGGAGGCGGGGCTTTCTATAGGGGCGGGGCTTTCGACAGGGTAGAGTCCCACCTTGGTTCCCCAGCCCCTAACCCGACCTATCTTCCCTCTCTCCAGTGGCTTCTTCTATTCAATTTTCCGAGGCCGTGCAGGGGTGGGGGTAGACATGCTCTCCCTGCCCGGGGGCCCCGAAGCCGGAGGCTTCGCTCCGCTTCTGGACTTCATGTACACTTCGCGCCTACGCCTCTCTCCGGCCACCGCCCCAGCAGTCCTCGCGGCCGCCACCTACTTGCAGATGGAGCATGTGGTCCAGGCATGCCACCGCTTCATCCAGGCCAGGTGAGGGAGCCCCAACTTGGTGTTCCTCGTGGGTGAAATGGCATCCCAGGTATCAAGGGCAGAGGCCAAGATTAGGGAATAGCACTAATGTCCATCACACTTTTTCTCAGCTGTGAACCTCTGGGCATATCTCTGAGGCCCCTGGAGTCAGAACCCCCCACGCCGCCAACGGCCCCTCCGCCAGGCAGTCCCAGGCGTTCGGAAGGGCACCCTGACCCACCTACTGAGTCTCGCAGCTGCAGTCAAGGGCCCCCCAGTCCACACAGCCCAGACCCCAAGGCCTGCAACTGGAAAAAATACAAGTTCATCGTACTGAACTCTCAGGCCTCCCAAGCAGGGAGCCTGGCAGGGGAGAGGAGTTCTGGTCAACTTTGCTCCCAGGCCCGGCTCCCCAGTGGAGACGAAGCTTCCAGCAGCAGCAGCAGCAGCAGCAGTGAAGAAGGACCCATTTCCAGTCCCCAGAGCAGGTACAGAAACTGGAAACCACCCCACCCCACCCCAACCCCAGAATTTGTAGCAGTAGCCTCAGCTCAAGAGGCACAACCATTGGGCCTGGGTGATCAATAACAGGAAATGAAGGAGTGGGCTTCACCTTAGGGAGCTGGCCAGAGGCCAGGCTTACTTGGTGAGGTGAGCCCTTGGCAATACAACTGGATAGGGCACATTGGTCAATACCCCACCATATGATGTCTCCTAACCATTTTTCTGGGGCTTGACATCTGCCTAGGCTTTCTCCAACTGCTGCCACTGTACAGTTCAAATGTGGGACTCCAGTCAATACCCCCCATCAGCTCACACCCCAGGCTCCAGAGACCACTGGGTCACCTTCTGGGAGGGCTCAGCCACCACCAGGTAAGAGCCTCTCCTTCCAGCCCCTTGGCTTTTCTCCTGTGGCTACTCAAGGCCAGTTGGGGCCAAAAGACCTCAGGGAAGGCCTAGTCCATTTTCAAATTAGAATCACCTAGAGAGCTTTTTAAAACCCCGTTGCCCAGGTCACACCCCATAGATCAGAATGTCTGCAAGTGGAAGCCAGGCATCAGTATTTTTTTAAAGCTTCCAAGGAGCAGCAGTGTTTGGGAACTTCTGGCGTGTTCCCATCCAGGGCTGAGTGGTCAGCCCAGGGCTGGCAAAGCCTCTCTGGCAAGCTGTCATCCAGGGTGGTGCAAGAGAGAAGAGAGGGGGGACTTCCCTGGTGGTCCAGTGGCTAGAACTTCATGCTCCCAATGCAGAGGGCCTGGGTTCAATCCCTGGTCAAAGAACTAGATCCCACATGCCTCCACTAAGACTGATACAGCCAAAGAAATAAATATTTTAAAATTAAAAAAGAGAGTGAGAGAGAAAGAAACAGAAACTTCCACCCATAAGTAGGGCCTCCACCTCCTACCACCACTATTGGATTGATTAGCAGAATACTCTCAAATTATACAGACATAGAGACAGATCCTGGCTCGTCCTCTCAAATAACCATGTGACCCAGAGCAGGTCAAATGAGCCTCAGCAGCCTTAACAGTAAATTGTGGGGGCGGGGTGGAAACAAAACAAAACCTGCTACCCTGTGGTCTGAGAATTCACTGCTATTGTTGTCATGACTCAACCCCTCCCCAGGAGGTGAATTTTTCAGCTGCCAGAATTGTGAGGCTGTGGCTGGGTGCTCATCGGGGCTGGACCCCGTGGCTTCTGGGGATGAGGACAAGCCCTACAAGTGTCAGCTCTGCCGGTCTGCCTTCCGCTATAAGGGCAACCTGGCCAGTCACCGCACGGTGCACACAGGTAGGGGAGGAGCAGGGAGAAGACCCTGGCCTTGGTGACCCCTGCTATTCTTCTTGACCTCCCTTCCTCTCCGCCTCCAGGGGAAAAGCCCTACCACTGCTCCATCTGCGGAGCCCGCTTTAACCGGCCGGCTAACCTGAAAACGCATAGCCGCATCCATTCGGGAGAGAAGCCCTATAAGTGCGAGACGTGCGGCTCGCGCTTTGTACAGGTACGGAGTCAGTTTCAGAGCCTGATCGCAGGCAAATTTGCGAGAAGGCGAGGTGGGCCGAATGGGGAGGGTTCCGCCCCTCCCAGGGGCGCGGCCTGAGATTCCCCCCTTTCCCAGGTAGCGCATCTGCGCGCGCACGTGCTGATCCACACGGGGGAGAAGCCCTATCCTTGCCCCACCTGCGGGACTCGCTTTCGCCACCTACAGACCCTCAAGAGTCACGTTCGCATCCATACCGGAGAGAAGCCTTACCACGTGAGTACCCGACCTGGCCTAGCCCTGTTGCTAAGTCGCTTCAGTCATGTCCAACTCTGTGCGACCCCATAGACGGCAGCCCACCAGGCTCCGCCATCCCTGGGATTCTCCAGACAAGAACACTGGAGTGGGTCTAGCCCAAAGTCTTGGAATTACCTCCTGTTTACCGACGGGCGGGGCTCTTAAAGGAGCGGGCCTGGAGGCCTTTAGATCGAGGCTAGGTGGGCGGTGTCCTTGTGAGAAAGGGGTGGGGCCGGAGGTAGGGGTGGCAGTCCTGGATGGGGCGCAGTCCTCCTGGAGAGGAGGTGACAGGTGGAAAAACGCTTTGCTGAAGGGGGGCCTCCTAGGCCTTCCCCCAAGGATTTGGGAGGATGTGGGGACTCAAGTGAAAAGTGAAATCGCTCAGTCGTGTCCGACTCTTCGCGACTCCGTGGGCTGTAGGCCACCAGGCTCTTCCGTCCGTGAGATTTCCCAGGCAAGAATACTGGAGTGGGTTGCCATTTCCTTCTCCAGGGGATCTTCCCGACCCAGGGAGCGAACCCGTGTCTCCCACATTGCAGGCAGACGCCTTAACCTCTGAGCCACCAGAGGTTAAAACCACCTCTGAGCTATATCCCCAAGAGCTTCTCTCAGGTGGAGTGCTAGGCGGTTCTCCCTCGCTCAGCACTTAAAAGGTGGTCGTGAGTGGGGAAGAGACCTGACCCGGCTGTCATCCTACAGTGCGACCCCTGCGGTCTGCATTTCCGGCACAAGAGTCAACTTCGGCTACATCTGCGCCAGAAACACGGAGCTGCTACCAACACCAAAGTGCACTACCACATTCTAGGGGGACCTTAGCCGAGTGCCGCCCCGGCCCCACTCCCTTCCCGGAAGACGGAAAGCTGCGGCTCACGCCTGGGTTCGCTGCCAGGCTTGGGCGTGGGGGTGTGCGAGGCCCCTGGATATCAGCGATGGCCACCACCTTTAATTTCTCACTGCGGGGAGCAGGGGTGGGAGATCCTGGCTTGATCTGCCTGTTTTGCTGGTCAAAACCTCTTCCCCGCAATCGACATTGTTTCTGAGCAGAGAACAAGCTAGGAGCTGGAGGAGCAGAGAGACTGGAAGCCTGATTTCCTTAAGGAATCAGGCCTCCACCTGCAGCCCCCATCTCATTTATCTGTAAATATAATTTATTGAGGCTTCTGGGTGGCACCAGGGCCTTCATACTATTGCATTTCCCATGTCCCTGTTCTACAAGTGTGATCAAAAGTGACCTGAAACTCGGAATGTGAGGTCACAGCTCTGCTGGCAGAGATTAGCACTTGGCTGCCTCCTTTGGCTTGAGTGTTTTATATTATTATTGTCTTAACTTTTATCTTTAGAATTGTTCTTTTCCCACTTGCTTGTTGGTTTGTTTAAAATGGAGAAAAGGGTTCCCTGTGCCCTGCCCCTTCAATTCTAGGTCTGGAACCTTTATTTGTTCTAGGGCAGCTCTGGGAACATGTGGGTTTGTGGAATTGGGTCAGGAACCCTCTCTAATATTCTGAATATTGTAGGTTTTCTAGCAGGCTAGCACTGGATATAGATTTTTTCTGTTCTTCAAGGAACCTATGATGAAGTGGAGGTAATATATACCTCCTGGAGGCAGTTGGTGTGGGGCCTTTGTCAGTCCTGGAAGTTGGGGGATGACTTGAGAGGCTTTCTCTTAGGCCCCTGACTGTCCTATTAGTCTGGTCACCTAGGTTTGGCTCCATGGTAATTTTGGTTATCTGATAGAACTCACCCAGGAGCTTGAGTTGAGCCCACAATCCTCCCACTAGGGCCTGTTCTCAGCACGAAGTTGATCCCTCCATGCAGGAGAGATCTGCAATTCCATATCAGAAATGATGCAATCTTTTCTGAGTCTGCCCAGTCTCTAAGAATGCTATGACCTAGGGGAGAATTAACTTGAGTAAAGACTATGACCCTTCCTTTACTGCAGAGCCATCTGGGTTAGAATGTTCCTTGGGGGTTCTACATGAGATGAACCTCTTCTTCCTTTAGTAGGTATTTGGACATCTTCTGGCAAGTGTCCAGATTTCAGAAATTTCTTTGCCTCTAGAAGTCACAGGTGCTTGATAACTTTCTTACCTTAGAAAAGCTGAGTCTGTGACCTGGTCTTCCCGTCACTACATTCCTGTCTGGAACCAGTGAAAGCACTAGAACCTTCCACAGGGAGAGAAAAGGGGCTGAGTTCCATTATGGATTTGCTGTAGTTGGGATTATGATCGAGATTAGTGTTGGGATTAAAGATTTAAAAGACTGACTGATGGACCATCTAGTTAACCAAGTATCCCGTAGGATTAAGAGGCTGTTTGAGGGACACAGTCTCTGGTGTAGGCCAAGTAGGTAGAAAGTTAGAAATGGGTTGCCTCTTAACTGTGTGGAGCGTCTGGAATGTTAGATGATACTCTGAAGTATTACAGTCCTGCCCCTGTTGCTCTGGGGCCTGTTGGTTTAGGGACATGGGGTAGAGGGTAAGAAGCACTTTGAATTTGTGGGATGGAGCTTCCGCAAGACAGGTCAGTCCTAGTGGCTGTCACTTGGGGACTGGCTAGAAAGCTACTTTTTCCCTCTTTCCCTCTTAACCTCAGTGCAGAATTGAAGGAGGGAGGGAAAGCAGAGGAAAGAGTTGAGAAGAAACTACATATATATATATATTTTAAGGAGATTGGATGGGCAGGTGGAGAGTGCCAAGGGGTGGAGATGTTAGATCGTGCAAGATCAGAATCATGGAATAAAGAAGCCTCTCTGTGCTGCCTGTTGTGTCCTAGGTTCTTGCCTGTGGCGATCTGGGGACTGGGGAAAGAGGGTTCTTCCTCATGGATACCATCTTGGATTCTGTGCCCATCCCACTGTCGCATCCATTTTAAGTAGCCCTTGTTCTCCTCTTCCCTGCCCTTGCCTTCCGGCTCATTGTGTAGGAACCAGTGACTTCATGAAGTCTCTCCGGAGCCACCTGCATCCTGCTGCTCTGAAGTCACTTCCTGCCTGAGGTGTGGAGGCAGCAGGGAGAAACCAGGAAGCCACAAATAATACCAAGATGCTGGGGGATGCATCTGTGCAGGGGAACTTAATGCTTGGGACACCCCCTGCCACCATGGAAAATGGATAGGACTTGGGTCCCCTAAGGACAACAGGTGTTAAGAGGGGGCAGTGAGACCATGTGGTTAGAGCCAGTGTGCCAGCACTACCCTCCCCCAGCAGTGATGTCTTGGAATCCATCCAGTGCCTAGTACTCAGTTCTCTTCCACCCTTTCTCTTGTCCTATGTGTCTTGGATGCACAGCTTTGTTCTGCCCAGAGGGTGAAGGGTCACTAATTCTGATAAATTGCCTCCCTCTTGGACTTAAATTCCTCATCTGTGAAATAAGTCCATTAACATGGAAGGAATAATTTCCTTCCAACATTTATAGTTTGTGGTTGTGTGTGTCAGTTTTTTAAAACCCATGACATGGGTTAGATGTTTTTTAAGCACAAAACAAACTAAACTAAAACCTCCCTTCCCCTCCCTCTATGGCCTATCCCCTGTTTAAAATAAGACCAGCTAATATTACTTATCTCCTGCTTCATGTGCATGCTAAGTCACTTCAATCATGTCTGACTCTTTGTGACCCTATAGACTATAACCCACCAGACTCCTCTGTCCACAGGAGAGATTCTGGGATTCTCCAGGGAAGAATACTGGAGTAGACTGCCATGCCCTCCTCCAGGGGATCTTCCTGACCCTGAGATCTAACCCCCATCTCTTACATCTCCTGCACTGGCAGGCAGGTTCTTTACCATTAACACCACCTGGGAAGCCCAAGGCATTTTAGTGTATAGATCTTCTAACTCAACCCCCTGACAACCTAAAAATAGGAACTATTATTAGCCTCAGTTTACAAGTAGGGAAACCAACCGAGAGATTCAGTATCTTGGCCAAGTTAATAAGTGATGAAGCCAGGACTGGAACTACAATTTGATTCTACAGACTGTGCTCTTAACTATTATGTTATATAGCCACACCAACTTCTACATCTTTGATATAGTCCCTTCCGGCCAAAGTTCTGACTCCACTTACAAAAAAAAAGAGAGAGAGAGAAAGAAAGATAAAACCTTTTTGGGTATGACTATTTTTATTTCCCACATATAAAAAAGTATAAGGCTCAGTATGCTTTTTAAAATTACACAGCCGCCCTCCCCACACCAGCCCCACTTGTCTGACCCCTTGAGCTCAGATTTCAAGGTCAGTGTTTTAAGGAGCTTGAAGCCAAATCATTAGTGCTACATAAGGTTGGAAGAACTGGGTACTGGTTGGGAAGGAAGGGCTGATTGCACCAGTGGTCATGGCTTGTCTCTTTATCTATCCCATCATGGGATCGAAAAATGTGGTTAGGAAGTGGTTGTTACCAGAGGGCAGAGGGAAAGTTTCCAGCCCCACTGAAGACGGGTGCTGGTGGGGCTCTGAGTGAGTTCACAGATGCACTTCCTCTGCCCAGTTATTTTTGGTCTCTGTGACCTGTAGGTTTCCTGTTAGTGGGAACAGAAGGGACAGGAACAAGTTCCCATTACAGAAATATATACCAGGAATCCAACAGCCCATTCTCCTCTTTCCTTGGCCTCTGAACCCTCTCCAGGATCCAGGCATCTAGATTTAACCTTATCTCATAATCGCTCTACGCCCCCCACCCCCGCCCCGCGTTTCAACTCCTGGACCCTTCATTAAATATGTTTTCCTCTCCTGAACCAGTTTATCCACCACCAACCCCCACGGACTCCTTATGTGCGCATCTCTGTGCAGAAGTCCGGTTAAATTAGCCCGCTAGGTGGACAGGAGACCGAAGCTACAGCAGAGCACGCTCCTGGGTCACGTGGGGCCCAACTATTTGGCCTACGAAAGCCCCTCTTCACGCATGCGCCCCATTCATTGCCCAGTACAGGACAGGTTCTAAACTCCGCCCCGTCCCTCTGGCTCCGCCCCCTGCTGAGGAGTCCCGCGTCCTTATTGGTGAGCTTCGACGCAGACCCTGGCTGGCCAGGTGCTAACACTTTCAATGAGATGATAGATAACCCACCTGGAGACGGGTGCACCTCAGGGGTGGGGCCCAGTTCAGCCACCTCCCCCGTCTGTCCCGCCCAGGCCTCGACTCCAGACTTGAAGCCGGCGAAGCCACGCCCCCCGGCGCTGAACGTGGGGGCTAGCGCGGGCCTGGTCTCCCCATTATAATCGCCCCCACTAGGGGAGAGCGCAGGCGTCTCACGCAGCCTCTCTGCAGCTTTCAAGCCCTCGTTGGTACTTTCCTCTCTGCCACCTCGCCTCTCCGGCGCGGCCCCAAGGTGTCCGGCTGGGTGGGTGGGCGGGCAGAGGTGGAACGATCCGCTCCGCTCCCGAAGGGGCTTAAAGAGGCAGCCCTGGTACCACCCAGATGGCATATAGGGCCGAGCCCCCCGACGGGGGCTGGGGATGGATGGTGGTGCTCTCAGCGTTCTTCCAGTCGGCGCTGGTGTTCGGGGTGCTCCGTTCCTTCGGCGTCTTCTTTGTGGAATTTGTGGCGGCGTTTGAAGAACCGGCCGCACGAGTCTCCTGGATCGCCTCCATAGGAATCGCGGTGCAGCAGTTCGGAAGTGAGTGCTGCGCCTGGGTCCCTCGACCCTCGGAAGGGAGTGGGGGATGCGGGGGACAGTAAAAGACATGGGGAGGGGGAGCGGTGCTGGAGAAGGACGCCTGAGATCTCGCAGAACTCTCTCTTCTCCAGGCCCAGTGGGGAGTGCGCTGAGCACGAAGTTCGGTCCCAGGCCTGTGGTGATGACAGGGGGTATCCTGGCTGCGCTGGGGATGCTACTCGCCTCCTTTGCTACCTCCTTGACCCACCTGTACCTGAGTATTGGGTTGCTCTCAGGTGAGACCCTGAGCAGGGCTGGTGAGTCAAAACCTGAGTCTTTTTGGCCTCAGGACTTGTTACTTTCTTCCTGCTCCTTCCGAAAGACTTAAGGGAAACTCAGAAAGTGTTTTGGCTAGCACCTCTGCCCTGAAGGGAATTCTTAACAGAGGTAACTAAAGTGATTAACAGGTTAGGGGAAATCGGGAAATCAAAGATGCAAGGCAAGGACTATTGGAACTGGAAGGTAAAAGGAATAATTACTGTAAAGTTGTGTAAGATACTGTGGCTGTGAAATAAACATTTCTATTTTACATCCTATTTACAGATGCGGAAAGTCTTTAAAGCTTATGCAATTTGGCAAAGGAAGTTCACACAGCCAGCAACGGTAGAGCCCAGGTCTAACTCCAAAGTTCTGTGGTAGTGGCCATACAAACATTGTCTCTAAGCTTCCAGAGTGTGCTCAGTTGTATTACCTCCATTTTGCAGATGAGATTGAGGTCAGGAGGTTGAGGTACACAAGGTCACACAGCTGGAAAGTATTGAGCCAGGGGTGTGATTTAGGCCTGTGCTCCATTCTGTTGCTGGGCAGTGTTGAGTTCTTTAGGGAGTGTTCTGAGTTTCTTAAGGGGCCCTCAACTCAACCCCCATTTTTTCCTTTTTGACAGGATCTGGCTGGGCCTTGACCTTCACTCCAACCCTGGCCTGCCTATCTCGTTACTTCTCTCGCCGGCGATCCCTGGCCACCGGGCTGGCCCTGACGGGCGTGGGCCTCTCCTCCTTTGCTTTTGCCCCACTCTTCCAATGGCTGCTCAACCACTATGCCTGGCGGGGGGCCCTACTTCTGGTGTCTGCCCTCTCCCTTCACTTGGTGGCCTGTGGTGCTCTTCTCCGTCCACTCTCCCTGGCTGAGGACCCTGTCGTGGGTGGCCCTGGGGCCCAAATCACCTCTCTCCTGCGTCACGGCCCCTTCCTCCGTTACACCGTTGCCCTCACCCTGATCAACACTGGCTACTTCATTCCTTACGTGCACCTGGTGGCCCATCTTCGGGAGCTGGGTTGGGACCCACTGCCCGCTGCTTTCCTCCTCTCGGTGGCGGCTATTTCTGACCTCGTGGGGCGTGTGGCTTCTGGGTGGCTAGGCGATGCTGTCCCAGGGCCTGTGGCAAGACTCCTGATGCTCTGGACCACCCTGACTGGGGTGATACTGGCCCTGTACCCTGTGGCTGAGGCACCCACTGGCTTGGTAGCCCTGACTGTGGCCTATGGCTTCACATCAGGGGCCCTGACCCCAGTGGCCTTCTCCGTGCTGCCTGAACTGGTGGGGACTGGAAAGATATACTGTGGCCTGGGACTGGTACAGATGGTAGAAAGCATCGGGGGGCTGCTGGGGGCTCCTCTGTCAGGTAAGGGGAATTGGATTTCCAGGTAGGCCAGGGCTACTGTGTTTTACCGGGGGTGGGGGGGTGGGGGGTGGGAGGGGAATTGACATAGTGTATGTTAATACTGCCCTCTGCCATGGTAGATACACAGCCGATATGGTCAGTGATAGCAGCCTTGAAACAGGTCCAGGGGAAAGAAACTGGGGCTGTGGAAAGATTAAGAGGACCTCTGATGCACCGTTGGCAGTGTACCTACAGCTGGGGTTTTCAGAGGACCCTGCCAGACATAGCATGATGGGCCCACTGGGCCCCAGGCCAGGGGTCTGAGCCATCTGGTCAAAGTTCCCCATGCTTCAGAAGCCAGAACCTTCAGACTCTTAATGTTTTCCTCTAACTATTAACTGAAGGAATGGAAGGGAAAGGTAGGTGTGGCTGACTCGATCTGTATCCCCAAATCTGAGGATGCCCTAAACTGGCTAGTTTTTGAAGGCAGGAAGGTGGTTGAAGTGACATTTTGAAGCCCCTTGGGAAGCCAGAGTTCTCAAACTCACCCAGTCTGAACTCTTCCAAGATGATGGGTTAAGGATCATTTTCATCCCTCCACCCCAAAATGTGTCAGAGCCATCAGTCCCAGGAAACAGATCACCCATGTGTATTCTTTTTCTCTCTTGAACCTAGGCTACCTCCGGGATGTGACAGGCAACTACACAGCTTCTTTTGTGGTAGCTGGGACCTTCCTTCTGGCAGGAAGTGGAGTTCTCATCACTTTGCCCCACTTCTTCTGCTTCTCAGCTCCTACCTCCAGGCCCCAGGACCATGTAACAGAGGCACTGGATACCAAAGTCCCCCTGCCTGAGGAGGGGCTGGGAGAGGATTGAACTCCAAGAAGGGGCAGACAGACCCACAAAACAAACGGTTTTCTGCCCCATCTTGGCACCCACAGAACCACAATGCCTTAAGCATCCTGATCTGCCCCCCTCCCCACCCTGCCCCTCAGAGCAGGCCTGGGGCTCCTGCAATGTGTGTGCCAACCCTATGTATTTTCTCAAGGATTCTTGTCTCTTGTTTGCTCCCACAACCTTTTCAGAAGGATCCAGTTCGGCCTGCTCCACTGAGCTGTGAATCAACTGTGGAAAATCAAAGGCCAAGATACTTATCATAGTTTTTTTTACATGTGATCTCCAGTGTTGCCCTCCTTGGAAAAGATCTGTCTTTGGGATAAAACTGAATAAGAAAACTGGACAAAATTCAGAAACTCAGAAAGTGCTTGGGCCCATAAGCTTGAGTGGGCTGAATGGGGTCACACCAGGGAATGGAGGGGAGGTATCCAGGACCTCTGGTGACCCAGAGCATTTAACCCTGGAGTCTGCTCTCTGGACCACAGTTCCTCCCACTTGCCCACTGACCTCCCTCTTTCCTACTCTCCCCTGTAAATTAGAAATTAAGAAAATGGTGTGAGATGTGGGAGAGGGGTGCTAGTTTGGAAAGGAGAGATATAGCTAAGAGTGATGAAGTCTGGGATGCTTGTATTTTCCTCAGGCCAGTAAAGGGGGACTGAAATGCAGAAAGACTTCTCTGGGAGATGAGGACGGGGCAGCTAGCACTCATGAGCACCCCCCCTCCCCCCAACAAACCTGAAGCAGACAGACAGTTCCTCAAAGGTTTCCTGTTATAATGGCAAGCACTTGGGCAAAGAGAAATGGACTGACAGGACAAACACCTTTCTCACCTGCCATGGCTTTGGGGGATCCTGTTCCTGTCAACCAGCTTTTCTGGATATCTTAAGCAGAATGTTTGCAGCATAGATTGCCAAACAATTGGAGCTTGCAGGAAAAGCAGATAAGTCTTTATTGGGGGAGGGGCTCAACAAGTGGTGTCCAGAGTGGAGTGAGGGTGTCCCGGGGAGAGCAGGGCAACGTGAGGTACCGGGAGCAGCTCCCCCATCTCAGGGGGTGGAGTGCCTGGACGTGAAGCCGGACGGCAGGAGGGCAGCGACTTGGGCAGCCCCAAATAGATGAAGCTGCCAGAGAGGACGAAAGAGCCGCACGTGAGGAAGGAGGCGGTGAAGTCTCCAGTCTCATCCCTTAGGAAGCCTGAGAGGAGACGGAAAGGAACTTAGAGGCCTGGGTCCCCAGATGCAGGTGGGGGGTGGGGTGGCGAGCGGATCTGCTGGCTCTGGGCCTTACCTGACAGGGGAGGGCCTAGAAGCCCCCCGAGGCTCAGCAGCAGCATCACCAGTCCGGTGGCCTGTACCACATTTGCGATGCCCACCAGCTCCGGGAGCACACAGAAAATCAACGGGGCGTAACTTCCGGCGCTCAGGCCGTAGGCCCCAGCCGCGGCCAGCAGGGGGCCCCCCCAGCCGTCCTCGTTCCCCACCACCGGCACCAATCCCAGCGCCAGCAGCCCAAGGCCTGTCAGAGCCCCGAATACCGTCAGCAACCGCGGGAGGGGCACCCAACCCTGGTCCGCCAGCCAACCGCAGAGGAGCCTAGCGCCGATATCCCCCATCGCAGCAGCCGCCACCACTAGCGCCGCCCCATACCCGCCCAGGCCTCGATCTAAAGCGTGAGGAGCCAGGTGCACGTAGGGGATGAAGTAACCGACCCCCACTAAGGCCGTGCCGAGTGTCAAAACTAGGAAGGCCCGGCGTCTGAAGAGACCGAGGCCGAGGGCAGCTAGAGGGCTTCGGGGTGGGGCCAGGGGGTCGCCAGGAAGAGCAAGGGGTCGTAGCAGGGCGCCACAGGGGGTGAGGTGGAGGGTGACGGCTCCGAGGAGGAGCAGGGCGCCCCGCCAGCCGAAATTATCAAGGAGGAGCTGTAAAGCGGGCGCCAGGAGCAGCGAGGAGGCCCCGTTGCCCGTGAGTGCCAGCCCCACGGCCAAGACTCGACGGCGGGAGAAGTAACGGGAGACGGTCCCCAGGGCAGGGGCGAACACCAAGGCCCAGCCGGAGCCTGTGAATGGATAGGACCGGGTAAAGAGAGAAACCAGGGATGCCAGGCCCTGCCATCCCAGCTCTGTTTCTCGCAGGAGGCCCCCGCCCTCTTGGCTTCCGTACCCGACAGGTTCCTAGCTCCACCATCACCCCCTTAAGAACCCGGGTATCCCTCTCCCTCACCAGCAAGGACGCCCAGGCCAAGGTAGAGGTGCAGCAGACTGTGTGCGAAAGCCGAGAAGACGAAGCCGAGCGATGTGAGGACGCCCCCAACCATCACGACGGGGCGCGCCCCCCAGCGGGTGCTCAGGGCACTGCCCACTGGGCCTGGAAGGGGGCGGAGTCAAGGGAAGACACGCCCCCCCTGGACCCCCAAACTCGCTCCAACACTTCTCATTGGCTGTATTCCTGGCCTAAACTTCTCCCCCGCCTTATAGCAACACCACCACCACCACCCCGCCCCGCTTCATCTCAAGACCTACTCAGTTTTAGAACTTAGAATTCTAAATTCGACCTAGCTCTGAAGGTCGAACTCTAAAGGTCGATTTTTCTAAGGTTGTTTGGTAACCAGTCAGATGTGTCCCCTACCACTGCTCTCACGGTACCTCCCCGGACCCCAGTTCTTGCCTTCCACCTCGGGGCCCCTCCTTACTGGCTGCCTGCTGCACTGCCAGGGCCAGGGCGCTGACCCACGCCGTCTCCTGAGCGTTTCGGTCAAAATACTCCGCGAAGTCAGGGAAGGCGAGGCCCAGGGAGCGTAACACCCCGTAGGAGAGCCCATTCACCGCGAACCCTGCGGCCGCCACCACCCAGCCCCAGCCCCCGTCCGGGGGTCCGGTTGGCTTGGGGGTCATCGCCTCCTGGGGAAGGCGGAACATCTATCAGAGAAGTCGCCACATCTATGTCTCCTTTAGGGACCTGAGCGTACCTGAGATCCAGCCCTGAGCACGAAAGGACGGAGGCGGGGGTTGTGTGTGTGTGCGGGGGGGTGGGTGGGGGGGTGGGGGTGGGGTGATGTTCGGGCCTTGGGCTAAACTCCAGGTTCGCGCAGTACAAGAGTGGGATAACAGCCAGATCCCCATTTCTGAGACTCCCCCTCCCACACACACCAGGTTCCCCTTACCCGACCTCTCCGGCGATCCGGGGGAGGGGAAGGGCGAAGAATGGCTCGGCCCGGTTTTCTCCCCGCTTCCCCGGAGGGCGGGGCCTTAGAGAGGAGCAAGTGCAGAGATGGAGCCCCACTTGGACAGGCTCTCAAGGTAAACAGAGAGCGCCACAGGGAGCCTGAGCCACCTGGGGCGCGGGGGGTGCCGAGGGCGGGAGCGAGCTGAGACAGCCAATCCACCGAGCCGAGTCCCACGGGGATTGAATTATCCATTTACACCCCCAATCCCGAGGAAGGGAGGGGCGAGGAATGAACACCTCCCCGCCCATGCCCACACACCTGCCGCTGGCTGCGTACCCGGGAGATGCATGGATTGCAATCGCCAGCCTCCCCAACGTTGGTAGGCAACGCACGGGGTGGTTGCGTGGTCCCATAGGAGTGGGACCCATGGGGGTGGTCCTCCCAAAGCCTGAGGAGATGAGTAGCTCCAACGTTCTCAGGGAACGTTGCTTGAGAACCTGGTAAACCTCGGGTGTTAAATCACAGACCTCCAGGCAGTGCATGTTGCGTGCTCAACGACAATACGTCCTCCAGGACAGAGAGGCAGGAAGAGGACTTCCTTGTGATGGGCCAGGGACATATACACGTCATGTTGCATCTTCACAATCACCCTGTGAAAAGGTGTTCCCCCCATTTTACAGATGAAGTCACTGAGACTTAGAGAAGTTAGGTGATTTGCCCAAATCACCAAACTTCAAAAAAAAGAAAGAAAGAAATATTTGAGTTTAGGTCTGTCCAACTGTGGAACCATCCAAGAACAGACCTACTACTGAAATAGAATCTGCCACCACGGAGGGAAACGTCCTGGAGACAATTTGATGCCAGACTGACCTGGAAATGGTAGATTGATTCTGAGCTACGGGTTTCTGGGACTAGAAAGTATTCTTGAGATCAGAATCCCTGAAGATTTAGATGGGAATTTTAAAAACAAAGTAAGAAATCTGAAAATTGAACCCAGGTATTGATTTCTTGGAAAAACTTTCCTTTTTACATTAAGATTAAGGTTATCACTGATTTACTTTGAAGCAAGGGATGTGTTCTCTGGTGTAACTATTAAACAACATCAGAGAAAACCTGGCAGTTTGCATTCCAGTTTGGCCGACAGCCACATTACCCAACAGCCACATGGTGGCAGTGTTTCCTAATTGTTGAGAAACTCTGCAAATAAAAACAGCTTAATTAGTGAAACTGTAAACCTAACAACACAATATGGTCTTCGAGGGCTCTCTACTGCCTATAAGAGGAAACAAAAGAAAACAAAACAAAATTCTCTACTTTGGATAAAAGCCTTTCCCAGTCAGAGGTAGACCCAGACTATCTTTCCATCCCAGTCCCCCTCCCCTCTTTTCTATACTCTTCCATCAGATATTAGCAGCTCACCTGCTCTATGGGCATTTCTAGCTTTTTATCACTCCTTAAATTTTGAATATGTCATGCTCTGTGCTTGAACTGTCCTGGAGGGGGTACAGGAGCCTTGCCATGTACCTACCACCCTAGGAAAGTGGTCTCACCAGTTTCCCTAGTCTGGGGTGCTATTGTGAAAGGCACTTGGAAGGCAGAACCAGCCTATCCTCAGGCAACAGGGAGGGCAGGGACCCCACTTCCAGCAATGGCCCGTAAGGACCCTGCTCCAAGCTGAATGAGGCCAAGTGAAACAAAGCACTCCCTCCCCATGGTGAAGTAGAAATGCAGGGGGATGAAAGAGGAGACTGGGTCTTTAGGGCCTGGGAGTTGTACAAAGTGATGCTGAGCACCTTTACAAGATACTTATGAACCAACACCACTATTCATGCCTGGAGAATCCTGTGGACAGAGGAACCTGGCAGGCTACAGTCCATGGCTTTGAAAAGAGTCAGATGCAATGAATGACTGAGCACACAAACACATTTTGTAAGAATATTGTGTAAGAATTACTTCTCAATAAAACTGATTTTTAAGGTTAAAAAAAATCTTAGATTGGTGAGGATGTGGAGAAAAAGAAACACCTAGCACTGTTGATGGAAATGTAAACTGATATAGCCAGTATATAGAAATGCCTCAAAAAATTAAAAATAGAACTGCAATGCTGTGCTGTGTTTAGTCTCTCAGTTATGTCTGACTCTGCAACCATATGAACTGTAGCCCAGCAGGTTCTTCTGTCCATGGGGATTCTCCAGGCAAGAATACTAAAGTGGGTTACCATGCCCTCTTCTAGGGGATCTTCCTAATCCAGGGATCGAACCCAAGTCTCCTTCATTGCAGGCAGATTCTGTACAGGCTATAAAAGAGATATTTGCACTTATGTGTTCATTGGAGCATCATTCACAATAGTCAAGATAAGGAAAGAACCTAAGTGTCTATCAATGAATGAATGGATAAAGAATAATATTATACTCCATTAGTTTGCTGTCCAGTGGCTAGTCATGTCCAACTCTGTGACCCCATGGACTGAATGAAGCATGTCAGGCTTCCATGTCCTTCACTGTCTCTCAGAGTTTGCTCAAAATTTTGTCCATTTAGTCGATGATGCTATCCAACCATCTCATCCTCTGTCACCCCCTTCTCCTCCTGCCCTCAACCTTTCCCAGTTTCAGGGTCTTTTCCAATGACTCATCTCTTCACATCGGGTGGCCAAAGTATTAGAGCTTCAGCTTCAGCATCAGTCCTTCCAATAAATATTCAGGATTGATTTCCTTTAGGATTGACTGGTTTGATCTCTTTGCTGTCCAAGGGACTCTCAAGAGTCTTCTCCAACACCACAGTGTGAAAGTATCAGTTCTTTTGTGCTCAGCCTTCTTTATGGTCCAACTCTCACATTTGTACATGACTGCTGGAAAATAGTATATATGATCTATACATCATATATACCTATATATAATATTCTATCATATAGCCAATATATATTGTGCATGCTGAGTAGCTTCAGTCATGTCCGACTCTTTGCCGACCCTATGGACTGTAGCCCACCAGGCTCCTCTGTCCATGGGAATCTCCAGGCAAGAATACTGGAGTAGATTGCCATGCCCTTCTTCAGGGGATTTTCCCAACCCAGGGATGGAACCTGCATCTCTTATGTCTTGTGCATTGGCAAGTGGGTTCTTTACCACTAGTGCCACGTAGGCAGCCCATATCCAATATATACATATATGTATGTATAAAATGACAGCATGTTATTCAACCTTGTGAAAGAAGGAAACCCTGCCATTTGCAACAACATGAATGGAACTCAAGAGCATTTATAACAAATAATATAAACCAGATAGAGAAAGACAATACAATATGGTATCACTTATCTGCAGAATTATTAAAACAAGACAGAAAGTGGAAAAGTGGTTGCCAGGGGCTGGGGGTTGGAAGGGAATAGGAGGAGGTTGGTAAAAGGGAATAAACGTTCAGCTATAAGATGAATAAGGTCTGAGAATCTAACATAAAACATGGTGATTGTAGTTGATAACACTACTTTATAATTGAAATTTGCTAAGAGAGTAGAACTTAAGTGTTCTCACCTAGGAAAAATAATAAACATGCAAGGTTATGGATATGTTCATTAATTAGATGCGAGAATCCTCTCACAATGTATACATGTATCAAATCCTGATATTTAAATATCTTACAATTTCATATGTCAATAAAGCAGAAATTTTTAAAAATATCTTAGGAACTCTAGATAGTCTTTTAAAAGTTAAGGGGAATAAAAGAACCTCAAATGGCAGTGCTCTAATCTCCCAGGGTTTATTGCTCTCCTACAAGGAAAAGGGTCCCCCTTCCCCACCCTGCCATTTCCCAGGCAGGGGGCCACTCTCTTAGTTGCCTTTGCTCAGTCCAGCCTTGCAGATCCAGTAGTAGGGTCTTTGGCAGGCATCGTCATTCCACTCACCATCGGGGTAGAAATGGGCACAGTCCTCACCCCCACCCAGCTCATGCCCATGAAAGTCATCCGGCTGGCCTGGCTTCCAGTTCCTGGGGAGGGGCGGGGGTGGTGAGAGGAAAAAAACAGCCAGCTAGGAAGAACAGATGGAACAGAATCCAGGCTGGGGAGAAGGGGCTGTGGGTCAGACCCTGGAGGAGCAGAGCTGAAGGAGGAAAAAGGCACAGAAAGCCAAGGCACTCACTTGATGTTGGTCTCATAGTCCGACCCATCCACCCATTTCCAGACTCCATCTAGATCACTGAGGCCCATCCAGGTGAAGTAAGGACGTAGGTTGGCCTGGATAAAATCCTGGGATGACAGAAGGGCAGGCAGTGGTGACTCCCCTGACCCTGTCCCCCCAGGCCAGCTCCTTGGACTAGCAGTTCTGAACTTCATGGGTTCATTAAAGCCATGGAGGAGATTCAGGGTGTTGATCCCAATGCTGGGACCAGTGGAACATCTGAGGATCTGGCTCAGATGGCAGAGGTTGTTAAAACTCCCCAGGTGATGCCAGTGAGACCAGTCTTGGGACCTGAGCTCGGGGGGCTCACCTGCTCCTCTCTGGAGTTGATGACTACCAGGTGGGCATTCTTCAGTTGGCAGTCTTTCTCAGCTTCTGGCCAGGGCTTCCCCAAGGAAGAAAACCAGTAGCAGCAGCCTCCATGCTCCAGCCAGTTGGCGGGACAGCAGGCTGTGTTTTGAGAGACTAAGGGGCGAGGGTTGGGGGAGTGGATGAGATGCTGCCCAGGGGAACGTGGGCAGGAACTGGCTCCAGGCATGCCCCACACAACTCTTACAATTGCTCTTGAGAGCATCCGTCTTGCAGGTCAGGGAGCTCATGTTCTTGACCAGCTGCTGGACTCGAAGGAGCATTTCAGAATCACCTTTGATGCACACAGATGGGCAGTGGGTACAGTGCTCTGGGTGTGGCTTCTGCTCCATGAGTCCCTGGAGACCGGGGGTCCATGCCCAGGACCCAGCCTAGGAACGCCCCTGCCCTCCCACATGCCTCATGCCCAGGTAGAAGGCAGTAGGGGCCTGACCTGCTTTGAGTTCTTCCAGTTGCTTCTCCAGCCTGTTCTCCAGAGAAAGCACCTTGTCATTCAAGCTACGGGCTGGAGGGGAGGGCACTCAGCACCTTGTGACTGCTCCCATCCCCCACCCTCCAGTCTGAGAGCCCAGCCCCCATCTCTCCACACCCCCTCCCTGAGGGTCTCTTACCAGCTTGCAGTTTTTGCTTGTGACTTTCCACCTCAGCTTTCAGTGATGTTATCATTTCTTGCAAGTTGCCACCTGGAGAACTCAGGAATCAGCCTCCACCCCTGCTCCACCCCACCCCACCTCAGTCCAGAGCCCCTTTCATGCCAGGCTCACCCTGGGAGTTCAGTGCCTGGACCTCAGCCACAGTGTTTGAAGTGAAGTTACTGAAACCTGTTCTCAGGGTCTGCAGGTCACTCTGAAACTTGAAATCTGATAGGCAGATGGGACAATCAGTGCTAAGGGTTATCAGGCCCTCTCTGCACCAGCTTTGGGCCCCTAACATGCATCATCTCATGGGTCCCTTCAGTGACCCCACCCAAAGGACCGGGCCCTATTGTTATCTGATACCGCAAGTGAGGCAGTTAAGGCTCAGAGAGAGGACAGAATCTGATACCATTCCCCAGCTGACAAGTGACAGAGCCAGCAGTCATCCTCATCCAACCACTCTTGCATTCAGCATCCCCACCACACCTCGTTGTTATTTCTCTCTTCTTGCCCACCATGTGCCACTCACTTTGGTATCCCATCACACATATGCTGGCCAGCAGGAGGCTGAGGCCCAGGGAGAGCAGGAGGAGGCAAGGGCTGGAGAGGAGCCGCTTCAGGAAGGTCTGGGAAGAAAACAGTGCTGCAGGAGGAGAGGGTGTCAGGAGGAGGGGGTCCAGGTGGTGGGACAGACGGGGCCGAGGATGGGGCCACAGGGACCTCTCAGGGAGGAGGCCGGTGCAGCTCATGCTGGTGGGAGACTGGATGAGAACTGTGGGGCAAGGGGTGTCCAGGTCTCTGACTCTTCATGGACCAGCCCAAGTGCTCAGATACAGGGGCCCCTCACATGCCTGGGGACATGTGTACATAAAGACACACAGACAGAGGACCATCACGATGTGTAAGGTCCTCTCATCAGAGTTGGGAGGTAGCAGGAGGACCCAGAGAGAGCTAGGGGCAGCCCACACTCTAAGCTCACAAGGTTTAGGGCAAGCTCACACTCAAGGGTGAAAACACATTAGAAAGACAGTTTATGCTCTTGCCTTTCCTCAGCGCACAGGAAGTCAGGCCCACTATGGATCTTGAATTCTCTTCAAATTGGGTCCCCCAGAGGCTGGGCCCTGACCCCCTTCAGAGTGGGGGACCCCACCAGGACACATGGTAGAGGTGCAGACATCACACACTTGACAGCAGAAAGCCTTCTAAACATATTAAGAAGAGATTTTAGCAAAGGTTGTTTCCCCTTTCCCTTACCTTCTGTAAACCCCTGGCTTTTTTTCTCACTCTCTGAGTACTGAAGGTCTTCGTACTTCACTGACATGTTTGGACCAACACGGTCTCTGAGACTGTTGGAGCAGAAGTGGAGGCCGAGCCAGTGGGCAGCCTGGGGCAGGAGCGGGATTAAAGGGGGAACGCGGGGACCAGGGAGGAGCTGCAGGCAGGGCTGGAGGTGAGAGAAGAGTGAGGTTTGAAAAGGAACCCATGGTGAAGGCTAGGAATGGGGATGGGCTTGGGTTTGCAGCTGAGGTCAGAAGTGGGGTCAGGGATGGGGTTTGAGCTAGGGTTGGGTTGAGTTTGGAGTGATGGTGGAGGTGAAGTTGGAGCTAAATGCATTGCTAGGACTGGGTCTGATGTTGGGTCTGGAACCGAGGTTGCATCTCCTACTAGAATCAGTACTCACACTGGGGTCAGTACTGGGGTCAGTACTCGTGTTGAAGCCATGACTGGAGATGGACCTAGGCTTGGTGCTGAAGTTGAAAATAGGACAGAGTTGAGGTTCAAGCTTTCGAGGGATGGGGAGTGGGGCAGGCTGGTGTTAAGAATCAAGCTAACTTGGGAATTCTCTGGCAGTCCAATGGTTAAGGCACCATGCTTCCACTTCACAGGCCAGGAGTTTGATCCCTAGTTCCTAGGATCCTGTGTGCCCTGCTGGGCTGCCCCCAATTTTTTTAAAAAATGATGTAAGAACTCTGGGGGTGAAGCTGCCACTGGGGTTGGTATGGGGTTTGAGATGTGGCTGTAGTGGGGGCTGAAGACAGGGCTAGAACCAGGCTAGGGAAGGGGCTGACTGTGAGTATCAGTTTGTGACCAAGGTTGTAGCTGCCCTAATTTAATCCAAATCCAATGAAGGGAATAGAGTCTAAAATCTCCACTGAGTCATTAAATCCCCAACCTGCCCCCTTATATATCTTACCATTCAGTTCCATCAAAGACCCATGGTCCTTTCTCCCTGCTTTCTCTGACATCCTCCCTGCCCTTTTAGTCTCACATACATACCCAGCCCCCTTACCTGTGAGAAGCCAAGAGGCTGTGATTTTTTAGTTCTTTGTGCAGCAATGACCAGAGTTGGAAAAAACTAAATCCTGGACAGTTGGGATGGGGGTGGCCGATGGAAGAGTCACCTAACTGAGTGAAGACCTGCTGGTCATTGTGTCTGAATGACCAAGAGTCTATAAACCGGGAGACTCTCATTTCCTCAATTTGGGGCAGTAACTAATAAGAAGGAATTGAAATCAAAACTCAGGCAGAAAAAAAAAAAAAACAAACAACTCAGGCAGAGGTGGCATGTGTGGGGCAGCTGGGCTTTTTTAGACCTCCTGTGACTTCCTCAGTTTTACTATTTGGCAGTGAAACATTGGATCAGAAGGAACCAGAGTTCCAGTGTTGCTCTGTCCCACACCTCCTTTCAGTTCCTTGATCTCGGAATTGTTGATGTCTCCATCATTGCAAACCCAGCTCCAGAGGAGCCCTTTGCTCTGCTCTTGCTCAATCCTGACCCAGGACCCCTGGCATCTTCCTCTGGGGCCTCAGCCAGAAAGCTCCCTGAGTTCTGGCCAGCTCTCCTTGTTATCAAGTCCAAGCTTGCTCTGATCACTGAATGACAGGGATAAGGTGTTGAGGCAAGGAAAAAGACTTTATTCAGAAAGCAGGTGCTGGAATGCCAGAAGATGGCGGAATAATGTCTCAAAATAGCCATCTTCTTTTATAGAACAGAGATGGGGTCAGGAAAGGGGTGAGGAAACAAAGTAAAAAGGCCATTAGTCTTGCAAATATCTCCTAGAATGGCAAACCTCAGGTGGGGATGTGTTGATTTCTTCCTTCCACCCACAGGTGGACAGGGTCCTGAACACTTTAACAGTCAGGCAGAGGGGCAGATGCTCTGAGGTAGGTCTTTATGTATGATTATAATAACAAAATCCAACTCAGAGAAACAGTTCCAACATGGAGTGAGAATTGGCTTTTCCCTGTCACATCCTCATTTCATTTTAAAGGAGGGAAGAGGTGGCAGAGAATAGGATCTCCTGGCTGGAATGGGAAGTGAAGATCCAGGAGAAAGAACAGAATATATTGAGCATCAAATCCGTGATGAGGATTGTGCCAGACATTTGCATTAACCATTCAATTCCCACAGGACTGTTGGAAGGACTTTCGGATGAAGAACTTAGGTTCAGAACCATCCTGTGACTTGCCCAAGATCGCTTGCCTGGTAAGCTTAAGAGCCAGGATTCCAGCCTAGGGCTGCCCCACACCTTAGCCTGGGCTCTCTCTGAATATACTATCTTCATGAAAGGGGTTCAGTTTAATCCTGTTAAGAGCTCTTAAATCCCTCTAAGGGGTTTTCCCTGAATTCACACACACAATCTTTTCATAGGAAAGATTCTTAGTGTCTTAAAAAGGGAAGAAAGAAAGCAAATACATTTCAGATTCTATTTTCTAGTTAAATGGGATTGTGCTCTGATAATTACATTTTAAAACTCATTTAACATTGTATCAAGAATACTTGGTCACATCAGTTCACTAAATGTCCTTTATTCCTTTTTTGACTTCATCTCATCTCATAAGCTGTGCCATAATTTATTGACTAAGCTTTTTCCCTTATGATAAACATTTAGGTTGTTTCCAGTTTTCTTTTGCTTTCTTGATTTGCATTTATTTGGTGTTTTGATTAATATCTGTTATAGGCTGGGTTTTTGGAATCAATGTGGAGACTGAATTTGGGGTACAGTTTAGTTATTAGGGATCAGAACCTGTGAAGGGAAGGGGAAAAAAGGTGGTGGTAGAGGGGGACGTTAAAGAGTTACAAAGATCCCACAAAGCTTTAGCCCATCCGACAGGGGCTTCTAGGGGTTCACACTGCATTGGCTGTCAGAGCTGTGCATTGCTGCACGGAAATGGGGCCTTTATTACCTGATCTCCCTCAGTTACCTGATATGGCTACCACAGCAGGGGTGGGACCTCAGGGGAGGGGGCTGTGTGCACAGGTTACACACCCCATGACTGGGCACCAAGTCCTTTTTGGAAGTGAGGTCCGGCTGTCTTTGTGTCTACCCCCGTACTGCTTTGCATTCACACATTAATTGGGGGATAATCAAATTTTTGCTTTATTGAATCTTTCCCACAAAGAGCATGGTATGTTTCTCCATTCATTTATCCAAGTGGTAGGGACAGAATGAAGGGACAAAATAGGTGATTAAATAGTTAATCCCACTAGGGGTTTGTAAGTGGAAAAATATGGGAGACCCCTATAAGTTAATGATTACTCGAGAAAGCAGGTTTGCTTAGCAACAGAACCATGCAACAGAAGCACGGGACATGCCCCAAAACAATAAAACAATGGTTGCATAGGACCTACGTAATGAGTGCCCAGTGAACTCAGTCAGTTAATGATCCCTGGTACATGTTCTCTGAATACACAAAAAACAATAATCTGTGGGCCTAGCTTGACCACACAGGGACAGGGAAACTCCCCTGCTCAACTTGGAGGAGGAGCTGATGATGGAAGCATGACGTCTACTCAAGAAAGACAAAGAAGGGTTTCCCCCTCCACTACTTTCCCTTCGATTAAAAAACTGCAGCCCACTAAGTTTTCAGGGTGCAGCATTTCTCGCCCACCCACTTGTAGGCCCCCAAGTGTCCTAGTCTAATAAATAGCTTATCTACCACTTTGCTCTTGCTGAATTCTTCTCTGCACTGAGACATAAATGACTACAATACTGGAGCTCTTTGGGCCCCACCTGAAATGACACCAATCGGTTTCACAAGCATTTACACATCCATTCAAAAATATTTATTGGATGTTAATAAAAGAAAATGTCACATATGGAGGTATGGGAAAGTCATTCTGGCTTTTTCATGAGCTAACTTGAACTTTATGGCCAAGTTATGACAGTGTGTTTGTGAACTATCAAATACACATTATGCATCCACTTTAATTATTTAAAGGG